GGAGGGAGGTCTGGTATGTATGGTAGATAGAGGTACGGAGGAGGGAGGTCTGGTGTGTGTGTGTAGGTCTGGTGGTAGATAGAGGTACGGAGGAGGGAGGTCTGGTGTGTATGGTAGATAGAGGTACGGAGGAGGGAGGTCTGGTGTGGTATAGAGGTACGGAGGAGGGAGGTCTGGTGTGTATGGAATAATAGGTACGGAGGAGGGAGATCTGGTATTCATGGTAGATAGAGGTACGGAGGAGGGAGGTCTGGTATGTAAGGTAGATAGAGGTACGGAAGAGAGAGATCTGGTGTGTATGGTAGATAGGGGTACGGAGGAGGGAGGTCTGGTTTGTATGGAAAATAGAGGTAATGAGTAGGGAGATCTGGTGTGTATGGAAGATAGAGGTACGGAGGGGAAAGGTCTGGTATGTGTGGTAGATAGGGGTACGGAAGAGGGAGATCTGGTGTGTATGGTAGATAGGGGTACGGAGGAGGGAGGTCTGGTTTGTATGGAAAATAGAGGTAATGAGTAGGGAGATCTGGTATGTATGGAAGATAGAGGTACGGAGGGGAAAGGTCTGGTATGTGTGGTAGATAGGGGTACGGAGGGGGAAGGTCTGGTATGTATGGTAGATAGAGATACGGAGGAGGGAGGTCTGGTATGTATGGTAGATAGAGGTACGGAGTAGGGAGGTCTGGTATGTATGGTAGATAGAGGTACGGTGGAGGGAGGGAGATCTGGCATTGATGGTAGATAGAGGTACGGAGGAATATTTCCTTGGATAGTTACAAAGCAATTGTTAATAAAGTTTTGTGTGTAAATTTGCCTGTTGGAATTCTTTTCATAAGAGTTTTTTTCCCACTAATATTAGCGCGAAACTGCAGCGAAGCTTTCGCGTATTGTAAACTCAATAAAAGGCGATGTAATGCTTTTTAAACATTTCTCTGGTCATCACAATTATAGACGGCGAGTGCTTGTTAATTGGAAGTGTTTGCATCATCGGCGGATTTAGAGCAGAAAATTAAGCAGAGAAAGATTTGCTTTTGATTTTTACGCACGATGATGCTGATGGTTTTGTCATGGTTTAACATCACATTCACAGCTTATAGCATAAAAGTTTAAACACTGAAAATTATCTCGCCCAATAGTTTCATTTAGTTCATGAGCTAAATCATTATATTTCTAACTTCCCTGTAGATAGAGCTTGACCAGGGACGTAGGTTTGACTTATGATATTTATGACTTGACCGTATGCCAAAAAAGATGATATTTCAACGACAGTTAGTGGGTGTAATAACACTATTATTGCGACGTCGCAAGTTAGTCGCGTCTTCATGGAATTTGTCGTTGTCTAGTTGGCATTCATACACCCATGAACATCAAATTAAAGCAGTTCAATGTTTAAAACACGTATATAGACACTATTGAGACGTCATAAATAAGTCATGTGTTAATAACTTTACATGATTGTCTTTGAAGTGAAAAACGTACCATTCGCGTCGAAAATAGTCAGTCTTATGGAAAAATTAAGTTGAGGGTTTCAATTTGGCAAAAGGCTCGTGAAATATAAAATTATTGAACTCGTTTAGCAGATATCATATTACTCTCTATCGACACTCATGTCAGACCCTCTGTATTTAGGTGAACTCGCAGGTACACTGTACCAATGTCTCGAGAAAGCGGTATCGGAACACTGAAAAGGAACGATAACTCTTGTACGGATTGTTATAAGTACCGGCTTAATATGACAATACACTCATAGCCGGCATTAATATTTGTTAGTATGGATGTACTGACAGGTTAAGCTGGTACTTGTGTAGCTGAAAAGGCTCTGACTATCCATCCGTTGATTTTATTTTTTGTCTTGGTTGGTTTTCTTCCAAGACAAAAATAAAAAATAGAAATTCATCAATGGTCAGATAATATCAAAGTTATAAAATCCCATTACTATATCATGCTATATGTCTAGATTCCTCTGGAATGAAAGCACTTTTTTATTTTGTGGTATTACGCCGCGCGTATAAATCGTCCTTGGCATTATCGATACTTCCCGATCTTGTCGTTGTCGGCTTTTAGTATTCCGCTAATAAACAATATGGCGACACCAGCTGGTCGAAGTGTCAACTCTTTGCGAAAGCTTTCAGGTATAGTACTGCACGCGAACGCTTGATGAATTTGAAATTACAGAAAGTGAAAGCAATTAGAACAGAAATACACTGGAGATGTTTTCTTTCGGTGGATATACCTCGGGTAACAAGATAAGTGTTTTCAATGTGTATTATAAATCGGGAGAACTGACGTCCATAAGTTTGCTAATTGCTGATGTGTTCCATAGTATCTTACGGATATTACTGTTGTATGCCTACCTGAATGCCAAATTAAGATTAAAATAGCACATGACAATATTTTGGTTCGGGATGACAGGCAAGACATTAGGAAGATTTTTTTTCTTATGTAACAAACATTTTTTGTTATATAACGTTAAACACTTGGTGTGTTAACTGTTAATTACGGTCCATCTAGATTTCAGCAAACATCTCAAAACCTTGTACTTTCAGTGTCACGAACTTTTAAAAGATTTTCTCCCATTAATTTGTTGTACAAAGTTTTATAACAAAAGTTTCTCAAAGTTCTGAATTTAGGCTACCTAAACATGGTATAACTACTGCATCGTAATAGGTAGGGCTTTGGCGTGTGTCCATTTAACAAGACCATTCCGTGGTATCAGCATTTTTGACTATTTGACCTTGATTGTGACCTTTGACCTACATTTGAAAGTGAAAAAATCATTACTACACTGAAGACACAAGTGTGTCACAAAGTGTGCATGTCTTGTACAGTACAGTTCTAATGTCACACTACAGAATTTTGTTGCAACTTGTGCTAGTGGCGGTATAGTGTTTCATAAACACATCTTGTTTAAAAAGTGTCTTTTGGCTGCACAATTTAACATAAATATTATTTTGTGTGCTAAATAGAAATAGAGGCAATACTTGATATTGATGTTCATTAAGATAACTCATTTGATTATTTTTACAGGTAAGGTGCTGAAAGTGTTAACTGGAAGAGAACTGTTAATTCCACCTAGCTTGTGCAACAGTCTGCCAGTCAGATTATGTTCAGATGATAAAAAACAAACTCGCCGCAAGGGAAAAACACCTGCAGGCAAATTTGATGACAAATGGGAAACCGAGGTTGAGGAAACAGTATCTCCATATGTAGAACAGGAGCCATTAGAACGCTTTCCTGATGACACTAATCCATCAACAGGTGAAATTGGTGGACCTAGAGGACCAGAACCTACTCGCTATGGTGACTGGGAGAGGAAGGGACGATGCACAGACTTTTGACATTTATGTTATTCAAAACTCCTTCTAGTGCGGTGTTTTTTTTTTGTTGAATATAATTAAATATTTTGGTTATTACTTTCAGAATTTAATTATCTTTTGTCAAAAGTAGCTTGAAATTAAACATAATCAACTGTATACGTTACAATTAAGAGGAGAACCCAGAGTGATCTTGGTGCCCACGATTGTTTGATCTTCATTTATAATTTATGTAACCCTGGTAAAATACTAGCTGCAATATACCACTCGGCCAGAGAGAACTTCTCTTTAGCTCGATTGGTAGAGCGTCAGACTAGTAAGTCAGGAGTCCTGGGTTCGATTCCTAGCGGAGGCATTGAGATGAAAAATGACCTCTGTCACATTGGCGCCCATGTAGGAACCTGGGAATAGTACTCAGCCATGCCCACCGGCGTCGCTGTAACCCCTGGAAACTCGAGGATGAGTTATTTCCTGGAATGGTAGTATGTAACCCTGGTAAAAAACTAGCCACAATATACCACTCGGCTAGAGGGAACTTCTCTTTAGCTCGATTAGTTGAACATCAGACTAGTAAGCCAGGGGTCCCGGGTTCAATTCCTAGTGGAGGCATTGAGATGAAAAATGACCTCTGTCACATTGGAGCCCATGTAGGGACCCGTGAATAGTACTCAGCCATGCCCCACCGGCATCGCTGTAACCCTTGGAAACTCAAGGACGAGTTATTTCCTGGAGGGGGAGTATGTAACCCTGGTAAAATTTCCTGGAGGGGGAGTATGTAACCCTGGTAAAATACTAGCTGCAATATACCACTCGGCTAGTCTGAACTTCTCTTTAGTTCGATTGGTTGAACATCAGACTAGTAAGCCAGGGGTCCTGGGTTCGATCCCTAGCAGAGGCATTGAGATGAAAGATGACCTCTGTTACATTTAAAAAGTGGATCTTTCACCCAATATCTCTAATTAATTGTTTAACTATGGCCCTGGCAAAAATGACTACAAAAATGAAGTCATAAGGTCTTTGACTTTGGAATTTAATTTCCGTGACCAAATTGATGCCTGTGAATGATGCAATTGTGTTTCAAATTTCATCGAGATATTTTGAAAATTCAAATGTCATTGGCAAGACAAGAATGGGCTGGAAATTTCTTGCCTCTAACCTTGATGTGAAAGTGACAGTAATTCAATTTTAATGTACTGCACACTAACTGTGGGTGATAATATGTTTCAAGGTTTAATTAAGGTATTTCAAGTGGTCAAAAAGTTGGGGCCTGGACAAGAAAATTATGCACTTGTGTAGCTATGATTTGCTCAACAAGTTCAGTACCATTTAACACATATCTAGAATTGCAAAATACATGCAACTTTTTAAGTATCGGTAATTTAAGAAGGGTATAACATGAAGAGGAGCTGGATTTATGCTACCAAACAAATGTCCCATCACACAGCTTGAAAATACCAGTCGAACATCCACAGTATAATTTTCATCATAAAAATTAATGAGATTTTATTCACAATTCAATTATATGTACATTAAACCAATATAGAAACAATGACTTTGTCACTGTATGATACATTCAATATAAAACTGATCATGAAATATATGTGTGATGAAATGAGATGGCTGCCTGATCAGACAGAAATATGTAGACAGACATACGGCATAAAAAAAGGTAACCCCCCCCCCCCCCTACTAATGAAGTGACTAATGCCAAACTGAAGTCATTTTTTTAGAAAGTTTTTGCAGTTCAGAAATGTAGATAGCCTAAAATTCTAAAACTTCAGTTTTTTCCCCCTCACAATCAACATCATAGTATAAATGGATATTAAAAGATACCAGAAATTAGCCAATTACTTGAATTCAGTTTACATCTATAAATGAAATAATTTCACTGTTCTCTTTATCAGGATTCTGTTGTCATCCTTCCAAACCACACTGGATACTTGTATACATCTGAATGATACTTGAATGGCTTGATGTTACCTCAGATATAGTACATTTTTAATGGTTGTGTGGTATTGCAGGTAAGTACATGTCGACTGGCTGTATGGTACTCCAGGTGTGGTAATGTTGACTAGCTGCTTGGTTCACAAGGTAGAGTACATGTCAGCTGACTGAATGATATCCCAGGTACATTTAACATAATCTCACCATTAATTTTATGATCAACATAGCTAAAAGGATACCACTAAAACATCCACGCTGTTGTCTGATACTGAAAAGCTAGCAATTTCTGATTTTTTTTTCTAAAAAAAGATACCAATTTCTGATTTTTTTTTTTTTATAAAAGATACAACTTATACAACTTAGATTGATCTGATGATCTACACTACCCGATAGAGAGACTCTAGGTTTTGTTAAAATTACACTAACAAGAGAAATCATCAGATTGTGCTGTTGTATATATCTGCATTTTCTCCATAACCCATCAGACATAGATTTTCTTTTATTTCTGAAGTCACCCATATACCTATCTTACTAGTGGAGCAAGGATTTTCAGTCTTCTCATGTACACAGGGTTGAGAACCTTCTGAAATACATCTCCGATTCAACAAGTTGCAGATGAATGAAAAGCCCTGCACTGAAGTTTAATACAACATAATATTGTCAACACAACTAGCTGCCCGTAAAAAAAAGTTCTTTCGGTATTGAAACATCTTTCCACAAAGAAAGATTTCTTGTTTCTGTTGAATTGTTTTCGGAAGTCTGGGTTACTGTGACAATAAGTCATAATTCATTTATGAAATTCTTAACATTTTTGAAAATTCATTCTACATGACTCTGAAATGATATTTAACATGTACGTCATTCTTAAATCATGGACTTACACTTGTTCGTAAACATTACTGAAATCAAATTACCACCTGAGGAAAATTTCAATTTCAGAATAAAAATACACTGCAAATCAGTGGAATCACCAATTAGAAAGAGAAAACAGAAGGAAGTTGAGGTACCTATATTACAACCATTGATATTGGTGTAATCTATGACTGACAATATTATGCCAACTTCAACCTTGCTACATTTTACTTAACGTTTTCAAATAACTTCTTTTTATCATAATGTCTGCATACAAATTTTTAATGCAATATTTCTATTAACAATGACAATATAAGATTTTAACAAACAGTATTCATTTCATTCAGAATTAATTTAGCTTTCCTTTCTAAATTAGAAAACACCTGTAAGACAAAAAACACCAGCTCAGACAAGCAGATATTGTCAAATGTGACCTTTGACCCGTTAACCTTGATGAAGCCCTCCTCAGAAGAAACAGCAAGGGCAAAAATTTAAGAAAGTGAACATGTAAATTTGCTGGTTCAATTTCAGCCATATCTGGATATAAAATGTGCCAGTATTCATTCTTTAAATAATCTCTTGGCATCTATCCTTGGCACAGAAGAAGCTGACGGAGTGGATGGTAGATATGTTTCAGAGACTTCTTAACATTTTCTGACATGTAAATGGCATTTATCTGAACATCATTATAATTCAAAACTTGTGTAGGTTTTGTACATCTGTCAATAAAAACATTCACAACAGAATCCTTAGTCCAGAAATAATGATACTGTTGTTGTGCCTTACTATCCAACTCTTCAAGATGTAATAGAGATGCTGATTTGGTCTCAAAAGTATCAATGCTCTGAAAATAACTCTTGCAGGAGAACATCACATTCATTGTTTTCGCTATCTCAGAATCTTCAATATTCCCCGTCATTATATCAATGGGAGATCACTCTTGTGGTCCTAATGATAGCCTCTGTGATGATATTTCAGTAATAGGTAGATATACAGGACCTCAAGATCGCAGAGCACAGAACTGTTGGAAAATCTCCAGTATGTGAAAGTCAATGTCACTAGTAAATAGCAGACTCTCCAGTGTGCTAATATACCGGTATACAAGCTCGTGGTGCTAAAACAAGACAAAAAATTAAAATCATGATAATGTTAGTCAAAATTTTACTTGAGAATAAGGTAATTGAGCAGTATATCTTCCTGAATCTTTATGAACATCAATATCTGATGCTTACAATTGATGTTGATGATCAAAACATTATTGTAACAGCATGCAATAAAGGTCAAAAACCATTGTACAGGGCTTGCTTAATTTTCACCATCCTATACTGACAATATTGTTTGTCTAAGGCTATTATGAATGTATGTGCCCTAAAGATACATGTTAAGAATGTACAAATACAACAATAGGATAATGGCAGGTAGGAAAGGAAACAATGACCACATGATTTACTCTGTGGGCAGTGGATCAAAAATGATATCTACTATGTCACTGTCTGAAGATACTGACGAAAATTTTTGAGTCTGAAGTCATAGAAGATAAGATTTTGCAGGTGTACATAGATTCTTACAAATTCAGTTATTATGAAAGTAATATCTGCTAGTGTTATTCAAAGCCTGACCCAATTATATGCAACATGGAAGGGTAATAATCTAGATTTTGTACACAGCCAAGGTGTAACATCACCATCTGCTGCCTTAGAAGATATTCTTTATCAGAGAACAGAGAACATGCTGTAAATGTGGAAATCTATGTGGGGGGAATTTACAATAAAATAAAGTAATTCATTGGTGTCAATATCCTCCAAGCACATGAATATGTAACACATTAAATGCATATCAAAATATACATATGCAGATATGCAAAGGTACATTGATCTTGAAAATAACCCTAACATGTTAACCTGCTGAAATCACGAAATTTAACTCTCGCAGAAACAGCCACAACTATTGTTCATCATGCTTTTTTTCCAGCAATAAGCTCTTATTTGGTAATAAGCCCATCCAAATCTAATGCTGTTATCAAACACTTAAGTATGCCATGAAACATGTACATAGTGTTTCTCTCTTCCATAAGACACTTCAATATTTGCCATGTGTGTATTTGTTGTATGTTTATCTACCGTGTGTTTATCTGTCATGTGTATATTTGCTGTGTGTATATACAAATATGAATATCTTTAAGACTGAACATCAGATTTAAAGCTAAGCTTTCATTTTCACATTATTAATAAGAAAAAAAAAAGAAACAGGTAAAAAATCAAAATGCAATGAAAGTTTTCTGTATACTGGAACTTTAGCGCAATCACATTATCACTTTTTGGGAAATCTGTGCGATGATGAATTCACGTATCAGTAATTATTGTTATACAGAAACAATATGAAGTACCAATAATTAGTGCACAATACTTTCACCATAAAATGTGCTAATAACAGACTATTGCTAAAATATGTTTACTGTATAATATGTTAATGTCCTGTAATAACATTCACCCCAGAGTTTGTGTTCCCTCAAAATCCCTTATTACAGGGTACATATTTGTGTGTAATCTACAAAGGTGAACTTCACAAAGTGACACTATTATTGTTCCCAAAGATGGATGTAACCCAGGAAATACTAACCAGGAGGAATATTTGCTGTAGTCTCTCTATCACCCATTTATACCAGGGTGTGTTGTAGTCTACCCCACTACCTTCACACTTTGCCAGGTGGTCTGTTAAAATCATGATGAACCGCTGCAACAAAAATATGCCTTCATTCATAATTCAAAGATCATTAATCATGTTTAATGCAACATTTTACTCCATCTTAGAATTTTAAATCCAGCATCTATGATGACCTTCATAGATTTTATGAAATTTGTTTTCAAGAATATGATTGGTAGATACTAATGTTAGGACTATCTGTTAAGAGATGAACTTGTGGATAAGAGTATAATTTCATGTTGATCGTTATGACTGCCTGTTAACAGCTGAGTATTTTTGTTGACAATAGGGACTTTCTGTTAACAGTTACAATTTTCTTTTAACAGTTGAGAATTTCTGTCGACAATTGAGACTTACAATTTTCTGTTAACATTTTAAACTTTCTGTTAACAGTTGTGATTTTCTGTTAACAGTTAAAATTTTCTGTTCATAATTGGACTTTCTGTTAAAAACGGAAATTCATGTTAACACATGAGGACTTCCTCTTCCTGTTAAAAGTTGGACCTCAAAATAACTTTTGGAATCCCCAGTAAATGTTTGACATGCTGTTCCAAGTTTTGAGATGAACATGAGATTTCTACTGACAATCTCAAAGTTTACACAAATGTTTAACTTTATGTTCCAGTTTGCATATGAAGCAGTCAGAGATAGATAGACACATGTAGTAGAGAATATTCCTAGTCTGTGAAGTATAGCATTACCTGAAATATGATGAGGAAAAGTCGCTTCTGTTGGTTCTGAGCTGTTTCCATCCTTTCCTCCATTCTTTCTATCATCTCCTCTGTGGGTATATCATCTTCACTGTAATCTTCATCAAAATCGAGTCCGTCAGCTCGCTGTTGATCAAGACATTACAGTCAGGTATATGTATACATGTATATAGAATGACCTTAATCTGTGATTAACTGAACCAAAACTGCAAGTGTTTCAGTTTTTCTAATCAAACTGTAAAACAAAAAAGGGACATAGCAACAACTCTGTTAGTCCTGCAACCATTTTCTCTTGACTTGGAAATTGGGAGAATCTATAATACCAGTTAGTGTGGTAATTTTATCAAATTATTTGTGAGCCAAACTTATGTAGACATTTGGTCATCATATCCAAGATAAGGCTGGCATACACTGTGTGTCAAAGTTTTCTGTCATTCAGACTTACAAGTTCCCCATAAGTTTTTGAAGTTAATCCATGTATGACTATATGACTATAATCAGTCTGTCAAGAATGACCATGGAATCCAAAATCAGTCACAAGAATGACCATGGAATCCAAAATCAGTCACAAGAATGACCATGGAATCCAAAATCAGTCACAAGAATGACCATGGAATCCCAAATTAGACATAAGATTTGTTAATATCCTAAGTCAGTGACAATAGCTACACTCTGACCTTGCGTTTGTGAGCCTCCAGCTTGTCCTTTGCCTCCTCCACATCCTTTTGTAACTTGTCAACATGTTTACTCATCTTGCGTATTGTACTGTGCATCATCTCCCAAACATAGAACCTGTAAGTTTGGCAGATAAATTAAAATTTCTGCACAGTGAAAGCTTCTTAATTGTGATACTCAGCATTATATAGCAACACTGTTTCAGTACTAAGAGACTGAAAATCAAACAGGAATGAAAATGTTTTTTCAGAAAATTTTACAATCGGAAAATTCCATTATAAAGGAATTAGATTTACCTTTCCAAGAAAAAGTTTTACGCAATTACATACATTACAAAATGAATTCCAACTGACATTTTTGAAATACCAGAATGTATTCTGAATTCCAACTGACATTTTTGAAATACTGGAAATGTATTGTTTTATGCATAGTGAAATCATCTACAGAGAGAAAGTTGTTTTGTGAACATACTTTGTGAATTCTGGCTGCATTTCACTTGAGAACAACCAGTTAGCAACAGAGGAGGGCTCTACAATCTGTGTCTTCAGGAGTTTGTCCACGAGTACAACCATCATCTACAATGGTAAGGAGAAATAGGTAAACAGTTACTACAACAAAAGAGGCAGACAGTTAGGGCTATTTGAGTAGAACAGCTATCTGACCCCAGTAGTTCAAAACAAATCACCTTTTTCTTCTTCTTTAACTTGATTTCTTTTTCTGTCTGTTGCTTCAAAGCATAATTTTAATTAAATTCTATGTGTGGTACCCATAAACAAAACAAGGAGTCCAAGAGTTGGGATAAGCCCAAAACAAAACCAGGAGTCCTGGAATAGGGAGAGATGTTTTGCTGAAATAGCCAAAAATAAAACCAGGAGTCCTGGAATAGGGAGAGATGTTTTGCTGAAATAGCCCAAAACAAAACCAAGAGTCCTGGGATATGGAGAGATGTTTTGCTGAAATAGCCCAAAACAAAACCAGGAGTCCTGGAATAGGGAGAGACGTTTTGCTGAAATAGCCCAAAACAAAACCAGGAGTCCTGGAATAGGGAGAGACGTTTTGCTGAAATAGCCCAAAACAAAACCAGGAGTCCTGGAATAGGGAGAGACGTTTTGCTGAAATAGCCAAAAACAAAACCAGGAGTCCTGGAATAGGGAGAGACGTTTTGCTGAAATAGCCCAAAACAAAACCAGGAGTCCTGGAGTAGGGAGAGACGTTTTGCTGAAATAGCCCAAAACAAAACCAGGAGTCCTGGAATAGGGAGAGATGTTTCACTGAAATAGCCCAAAACAAAACCAGGAGTCTTAGGGTGGGATAATTGTTTCACTAAAATCCACATGGTTTTTGTTCAAGTCATCAGTTGGGGCATAATGATGTGAGCTTTAGTGAAATGCTTCCAATTAATATGCAAAACTGACAATTTCAGACATATATGCAGATATTGTAACTCATTTCAAATTATAACTAGAAATTAGTTTGGTCTGTCAGCCAATCAAACATGCTTAATTGTTATACAACATGTGGTATATGATGTATGTTTATACAACAGTATGAATGATTAATTGGTGCCTTGAGAGTTGAATAACACCCATCTATTGAGGTAGAAATAGGTTCATAAGACTACAAACAATCTACAAAATGAGTTTACTATTGATGTGACATGACAGACCTATTACTAAATGAGTTTACTACTGATGTGACAAGACAGACCTATTACTAAATGAGTTGACTTGCTGTGACTCAAAAGAATTTTTTTACTAAATGAGATTACTCCTGATGTGACTCAAAGAGACCAATTATAATAGTTTACTACTGATATGACATACCTATTACTAAATGCTGTTGCCTGCAGGTGCTGACATGGTACATTATATTTAGTGTGTTTACCTGTTGATGTGACCTCCAGACTTCATACATGGTGCGTAATAACCAGATCTGTCCTTCTTCTGTGTCTGCTAACATCTTCAACAGGTTGTGGAATCTAAATTTGATCATGTTTAATGAGAACAAGTATTAAATGTAAAAGGATCTGTTATTCAAGTCCCCCAAACTACCCCTTCAGTCATGAATAATGCTTATTAAAGTACTTCAACATAGAAAAGGAAGGTATGTGAAAAAGACTGGCCTACACCTTTAAATACTTCAAATAATAAACTTGAAACTGGTAGGCAACCCTGACACACACCTTTAAATAAAACTTCTGACTTAACCCTATGTCAGCAATTTTGTCAAATCAGAAATCAGATGTCACCATCATGTTTCAGATGTCATACTAATACTTCTTATAAAATTTCACTAAAATCATAAAATATGTCAATTTCAACCTATCATAATCCTTCATTTGGCAATTATTTTTGTGACTATGTTAATTTCCATTTCACCCTCTTAGAAAGTGTACTATTTTATCATCATTTCTCTTAAAGGAATGGCTGAATGATCTGGAGTTAATGGTGATCCAGACTTGCATAGCTACGACAGAATGGAATGACTGAATGTACTTAGCTTTGGCTGCAATGAATTGACTGAATGGTTTGGAGCTAATGGTGAGCCAAACTTATTTTATTTGGATTTGGCTGCAATGGATTGACTGAATAATCTTGAACTAATGGCCAGCCAAACTTACTTGGCTATGGCTGCAAAGGAATGACTGAATGATTTGGAGCCAAGATGGAGTAACACTGAGACAAAGACATCAATCCTCAAGGGATGGTATGTTGGATCACCTGAAAAATAAAATGCAATCATTCTAACATTCACAAGGAAATGTCTAACATACACATGTATCATGAACATGCACTAGCTTTTCAAAAGCAAATTTTATTTTTGTCATCACTTTTACAGCAGACGAACAGTTCAAAAACAAATTTCAAACTAACAAATTCATTAAAGAGGCATCATATTTCAACTGAAGTTATGTTTGCAAATGCCCTACCAACTGAGCTATTTTTGCCTGTTATATTAAAAAAAAAAATATGAACCTCTCCAACAATACCATGAAACCCAGCAACTCATTTTTTTAAGCGAAAGCTTTGTTTACTTAAGTCAAGATTGACTCTTGTTGGGAGGCAATGTTTGATTAAACTCAGTGTTAACACTAAGAAACAAGCATTCTCAAATTCATAGAATAGTTCCTTACTTTCCTCATCACTAAGTGGGTTTGGAAGATCCTTGAGCAGTACCATGGCCTCCTCAGGGGAGCAGCGTCCCTTGATAGCTTGAATGAGTTGATGGGCAGTCATTGTGCCTGGTAATGCCCCCGATCCTTCTTTCTCATACTTGAATTCTGACTCAGGTTTGAGTGGCATGAGAGGCATGAAAACTTCAGGAACAGTCTCTGTTATCCTTTGGTGGTATGAAAGCCTGAAAATCCATTTTCAATTTAACCCAAAAATCATTTCCATTTTCAAGTACACTTGAAGTATAATAAATCTGAGAAATGTACTCCATATTCTCTCAGTCCTTCCATTCATGAAGACTGCATATTCTAAATACTTCCTTCAGAACATTCACATTTTTGCCATTTTAACAATTATGTACCATAAATATTGATTTCACGATATCACACACAATCTTGCATAAGTTACCATTTCATAGGATTTTCATGAAATTTACGTCAAATTTGTAATTCCGATTTCTCTCAGATATCACATTCATGATAATTACGATGTAGTTAATCAAGGAAATTGGATAGAAACTGTGGCACCAGACAATATTGTGTCTAATCCTATGGTATACATACCTCAGGGCCTTGTGTAGGGCTTCACATATGAACTTGGCCTTAGGCAGTTCATGATCTGACTCAAGGCAACTTGCCCAGTCATCCCAACTCCAGCGGAACTGGAAATTACTGAGATGGTAGGCGAACCAGGATACAAATCTGGAGAAGAGAATATTTTCTTTCAAGTTACTAAATAGTCTGAAAACTTCTACCATTTTAAGATCTTCGCTAATACTATTAAGAACATTTCTTAAATTTCTTCCATTTTTCGCAAATTAATTTTATCATTGATTTGATAGTAAGTGATGATACATGTCACAACTCCCAAAAAGTAAATAAATAATGTGGTTAAATAATCAAATAAATAAACGAAGATGACTATCTAAGTTTCTGATCAGTCCTAAGAAACAATATGTAAAAATGTGAGAGTCCTTGAGAAATAACATATAAAATTTGAAATTGATTCCCCTACCCAACAATCTTCAAAAAAAAAAAAAAAAACAAAATCCAAGATGACTGTCAAGATTCAAGGACTATAAACATAAAGCTCAAAGAAAGAATTAGTTCACAAATTTTGTTTTCTTTTTTCCATTGCCATCTCCATTCATTATCCTCTTCCAATATATATACATATACATGCAAATAAATATATTGAATTGATCTTAAATAGTCATGAAACCTAGTGAAATCATTCTACATATATAAAAAGATTAAGCTTACCTTTCCATAGCTGTAGTATTCATGGCATCAAGACGTTCATATATCATTTCTGTTGCCTGTGCGAGCTGCTTGGAGTTGAGGAGAAATACTGGAGATCAGGTACCGATTATAATATATATGCACTTATAATTCTGAACTGTATTTTTAAATTAGTTATCCCTTAACACATTTTGATGGGAAGTTTTTTCTTCATAATTTTCATTGACTAAAAAATATTTTTGGGATATACCCAGAAAAAAAAAATCATATTTACCATTTTTCCTACTGAGATCTCATGAACCACAAACATACCTAGTAGATTTTTTTTGTGGTCCCATCCATCAGCTCCCAAAAAACCCATAGAAAGTTACAAAGATGTTTTCACTACAAAATATTCATGTCATTTAACCTGATTTAAAATTCTTCTATTTTCATACTGAAATATTTTCTTATTGCGATACACACACTTGAAAACAAGAAAAAACAAGAAGACCGACAAAGGATACCACTTGTGGCATAGATCCTGGTTGGAGTTTACAGAGTTCTATAAGCAGAGATCCATAGAAGACCTCCAAGAATGGTGGACGTGGTAACTGGAGAAGCTGGCCAAATATCACCTGTAATATCCAAAAACTTCCAAATTAATGTTGTAAATGAAATGTCAATTACAGAGTATACCAGGATGATCAGGAATTATAAACTACTAATTAGATCTCCTTGCTGAAATCTTATATCTTGTACATCATCTCGTTTATTTTTATTTGATAGAAAAGTGTTGGAGAAAAATGATCAAGAATTGTGATATACTTAAAAACGTTATCGTTGGGTTGAGATAAATCTGTCCAAATCACAAAGAGGTGAAAGATAACATTATTCTTCAATAATCATATATTCATTTCTACCATCATACAATACCTCTACAATCATGTAATTAAGTGGAATCTTGTTCTTTGAAGGAAAACTTAGAAGTGTTGCAGCACTGAAACAAAAGATAAAAAGTTTCATTACCTAACACAACAGGAAATATTTTATTGACATTAAACAAACTCAATGAGAATATGTGAAGAAAAACAAAATGCTCTGCAATAAAAAAAGCTAAAAATTATATTCTGTCAAGGTTTTTGAAACAATTAAACAAATCAAACCTTGCATATATACTGTATACTGTAAATGAGTGTTTCGTTTACCTGACTGCGGGTCAGTACACACATTATCATTCACCTAGTGTATATCATATAAGTGGATCCCTTAAGAAGACATCACCGTGGTAACAAAGTCAACTTAATGGACAGATAATTTTGAGAATACATAACATCCAAAAGCATCCATGCACTCACCAGTCCTTCCTTTCTTGGTTGTAGGTGTGTATAATTCTGTTGAGCTGGTCCTCAATCAGATACCGTTCCACAGAGTGACTTCCTGGTAACACTACACCCTGTTTACATCAAAAGTAAAATTCTATGTTTAAAGCACCATAAATAAATGAAAACGTATATTGACATCTGATTGACCAACTTCCTTTCACTTCAGCATTTTGACAATATCAAGAATAGAGAAGTGTACTGTAACAATTCAGATGACACTTAAGTGCTTTAAACAAGTACCATGGTAAGTGCTGGTATGTAACAGATTTAAACTTTTCAAATTTCACTAAATTCTTGCAGAAAGAAATCTATCTTTGACATAATCCATATAAATTATAGATACACATTACTGTGCAGAAAATTTGGTTTTGAATTTTTTAAATGAAATTCATTCCAAAATAATAACTGACTGAGAAGTGGCTTTGAATACACAGTCTAACAAAAATAAAGGATGATTTGAAGAGAAGACATGGCAAATGTAGGACAACCCTGGCTTAACTGCAGACTTGTAATATTTGAGTTGTCTATTTAATGATACAAAAACTTCCAGTTTCTTCCCTCTTGCATATATGTATTTGCAATATAGCCTAGTTTCTTACCTTTTTTAGCCTTTCTGTATAGTCAAAATTGCCCACTTTCTCACATTTAGCACATCTGTATAGTTAATATTGCCCAGGTTCTCACCCTAAGCATGCCTGTAAGTCAAATTTGTCTGGGTTCTTACCTCTGGCATATCTGTACTGTCAAAATTACCTAGTTCCTCATCCTATGCATGCCTGTAAGTAAAATTTGTCTAGGTTCTTACCTCTGGTACGTCTGTATAGTCGAACATCCTGAAGATGACACTTGGGAGAGGATAACCTTGTTCTTCATTGTGAGAAGAGGGGATAATCTGTGGAAGGGTGTGCTGTAGTGCCTCACATAGGATACCATCAAAAGCAAGGTAGGGCCGGATAATCTGTTTTTCCACCCATTTGTTGTTACGTAGGTTTTTAATCTGGGCCCATAGACATTCAATATACTGAAATGAAATAAAGAAATACCATCAGACTTTACTTTGTTGGTAACCAACTTGACAATTGTGTGCAATCTGAAAGATTTCTATCCAATTTTAACTCCTTCCTCAGCTCAACAATCTCACCACAATTGTCCTATGGTACTCATGTTTCCTATGTACACCCACAGAGATAGAACTCAGAAAGTTTGTAGTCTTCCTTTTGCTTAACTGAAGGTTTACTCATCATATTTGATGGACAAGAGTTCCTCGGAACTGTATGTGTCGCCTACATAAAGTGTCACGGTCACCCAGAAATCGAACTGGATGTGCCACGTTCAACCATGAAGTTGTTATACCAAATTTTATTTCTATAACTCAAAGCATAAAGGGAAAACTGCGCAAAGCAATATTCTTGAAAAATGTTCCAAGTTCAAAGGGACATATCACTGCCAAGAAGGGTTACAGACTGCCAAGAAACGAACTCGGTGCATAACTCATATACAAAATTACATTTTGATAACTCGAAGCATAAGCAAGAAAATTCCAGAAAACAATATTCCCAAAGAATTGTACAAAAAACACATTCTCAAAGAATTTTCGAAAAGGCATAACTCTGCAAAGAAGGGTCACAGACAGCCAAGAACCAAAACTAATCTGTACCTTCCAACAAGAAGCCATATACCAATTTTGATTTCTATACCTCAAAGCATAACCAAAGAAAGTCCAGAAAACAATATTCCAAGAGAATTTTCTAGTTCAAAGGGGCATAACTCTGTCAAGAAGGGTTACAGTCAGCCAAAAATCAATCTTATTCTGTACCTTCCAACAAGAAGCCATATACCAATTTCATTTCAATAACTCAAAGGGTAACCCAAAAAAGTCCGAAAAACAATATTCCCAGAGAATTTTCTAAGTTCAAAGGGGCATTATTCTGCAAAGAAGGGTCACAGACAGCCTGAAATCAAACTTAATCTGTACCCTTCCAACAAGAAGCCATAAACTAAATTTCATTTTGATAACTCAAACCATAACCGGAAAAAGTCAGGAAAACTGACAGCTCTGCAGGCAACACAATAAAACTATCTTAACAATGCACCAATGACAAGTCAAAGGAGGAAGAAACAGCTGTAAACATTTTGAAAGATAACTTAGTAATACAATGTGCAATGAAATATTTCAAAATATTTCATTGTTGATTTAGCTATCATAGTACATATCCATATAATCTGTTACAACTTCACCATCCTAACACTGGACACTAATTTGTTCTGGCATCAACCATTCCACTCAAACACCTCATTTATCAAATTCCAAGGTTTATTTTATGGGAGTGTCACATGTCAATATACAGTAAAATTTTTGACAATTTTTTTAATTATTAAAGCAGGGAAAACATATTGACATTCAGCCAATGTTTACTTATTGGACACCATATTTATAATTAAAATGATATATGACAGGGACTAGTAATATCATACATGTAATAATAATTCTAACAGAATTAATTTTCTCAATAAAAGCTAAGAAATGCCCATGAGACATGTATTTTATTTATACCAGCATTAAGGTGATATTGATGCAGTTGATGTGTAAATCAATAACATCCAATGTGTTCTTTGTTCAAGAAAACAGCAAGAAAGGAAGACAATGTTTGTGGTTATCTTGTTCGTAAGAGAACATGTGAATTTGGAAACATGAGACACGGACACAACAAATGTAATGAATACCTCTTCTTGTGGATGTGGCATGTCTGTCGACCAAATCCTTAGGGCAGGTACATGGATCTTCTGTCTTTTGCTGTACAGAAACAAAACATCTCATTACCTTCAGTAAAAACCTTGACAAAATGTTCACGACAAAACACAAAAGCTTGGAAAATGTCAGCATAAGAAAACCTGTGACTATGTAAGATCCTGACTTTTCATCATTAATTTCAGGTCCACTTGAAATAAATATGTTTTCAAGTGACCAGAAACATTGTATGTAAGACAATAATTGAACATTGTGTTATTTCATTTACAGTTATTATTCTCATCCAAACATGTTACTTTAAGATAACTTGATGTCTGGGGCTACCATTTCAAACAAATATGTTAACCTTGGAATGCCACTATGATGTCTCTACAATGTAGAATATATGATGTTTCTGTTCTAACCCAACATAACTGTCTGTAGAAAATATAAAAATTTATATCTTACCTGACGTAATTGTCTATCATCATCATAAGTAGTTTGTTGAATTCTGCTTCTCTCTTCTCATGGAGCTCCTTGCCGACCTGTAATTGAGAATGACAAGCATATAGATAAGGAACCCCCCTTTCACCTAGTGTCTATTTAGAGGCCTTTTTTCAGTTTTCAAGGTAAAAAGAAAGGCTACAAATTTCAAATTAACAGTTCATAATTGTAGGTTAAAAATTTCAAAATAACAGTTCATATTTGCAGGTTAAAAATTTCAAAATAACAGTTCATACTTGCAGGTTAAAAATTTCAAAATAACAGTTCATACTTGTAGGTTAAAAATTTCTAAATAACAGTTCATAATTGTTATTAAAGATGCAGTGAGAGGACAATACCATCTTCATTATTGTTCAAAAAGTACTTTTACTCAGTATTTTCAAAACCGTCCAATTTATGTATTTCAGTATTGCACAAACTGAAAATATACATTTTTATATTTGATTTGAAAAAAATAACATGTGATCATGTTCCCACTAATGTTGTTGTAAATAATGTTGCAATTTTTATTTTATGGATTGTCAGTTTTTGCTGAAAGTATGTCAATCTCTATTCCACAATGTCTTATTATTTAATTCTATTGCAGAGTGTGTCAGTGTTTGTTTTATATATAGCTTCATATTAAGTGAATTTCTAACTTACCCAAGGTAGCGATGACATCACAGCATAACAGAACCAATCAGATCTCACCTACAGAACATATATCACAAACTATACATTAGATCCAGATTATGTTTTTCCAACACTACTGATAATCCTATTTAACAATCCCAAATCAACAAATATAAAAAAAATAGAATAAAACAAATCTATATTCCTCATATCAAAGTAGACCTCAACAACAGATATAAAATTTGGTGTTTAGCACAAGTTGTAAATATACCACACTAGGGGTGTTTTCCCCTTTAAAATACTGAATGCCTTCCCTGATACTTTCTATGCTAATTTTCATCAATGGATTGTTCTCCTATACCAGTTTTTACTCATACATTGTTTTTCGTTACAATTTTTACCTGTAGATTGTTTTTTTATGTTACACTAGTTTTCACCTGTGGATTGTTTTACTGTTACACCAGTTTTTATCTGCAGATTTTATTCCTCTTGTACCAATTTTTACATGTAAATTGTTATATTTATATTCCAGTTTAATTTTACCTGTGGGATGTTGTCCTCAAGAGTGACCTCTATGAAATTGTCAAACATGGCCAATAGGGATCCAGCCACCACAACATGGCAGTTGACCAAGTCAGACAGGAACCGCACCTACGAATGTACCAACACCAAATCTTATTTTCATGTATATGACTTCGCCCCTGCAGATAAAGCAGGACATAAATATTATTGACCTCCATTTATGCACATCCGCACATTTTCAATTACATAACCCTTCAGCCCCTCCCCCTTTTCCCCTGCTCCTTCAAAATTTAACACAGACAGTAGTACCATGGTGCAATGAAATTTTACTTTGTTATTATGAAACAGATCATGTTTTTCACTGAACTATCAGCATATTTTAAATATTAGACAGGTCTCATGACAACTTTGTGAAATTCAATTAAGAAAATTTGGAAGCAAAAGGAATATTGCTGAAGCAATACATATCTTGGCCCCAATACATATCCCCTACCTTGACCCAACAACCCTGAAACTCAAATCCAAGCTAATTTGGTGTTTTATAAGTGTGTGAAGTTTGATGATAATCCCTCAAGGAATGAAGCTGCTAGGGTGCTGACAAACTTTCATAGATGCAGGGACAGATGGACGGAGGGATGGACGGACAGACAAACAGGAAAACTACAGTTTCATCACATGGGGACTAATGAGATAATGAAAAATGCAAATCTGAGGACTGAATGCTAGAGGATGCAATGATGAAAGAAATATTTTCATCTGCTCAATATCAAAGTAAAACTGACTTTGTCTTTAAAAACTGTTGATGCAGTGCAAGCTTCACTCACTGCAATAAATTCTAAGGAAGGTACTGTATATGAAAAATTAACAAACAGAAAGAGGACTGTAATATGCATATGTATTACAGTATCTTATCAGAGATCTGATGTGTTGGCAATGCCATAAACAATAAATGGATATATCAGTAAGAATATGTGCATACTCACAATAAGTCTAGCATGCTCGTACTCCCCAGACTTCATGGTCTCCTTAAGATTTCTCACCAAGAGTTCAACAAACTGAAATTCCAAAGAAATATTGAACTTGACGATCAAAACGAAAAAAAAAACAATAAAAATTGACAATCAAAAACAAGAAATTTAAAAAATCAATACCAAGTTTATACATATGGAAAGTAACATAAGTACTGGTAATTTGTAGATATCATTCTGTCCATCTCAGTCTGTAACTTTATACATGAATTTTTCATCTTTTTATCACTGTATTTTTTGTGTCATAACATTTCATACTCTAGATTTGATTTCCTTTGTCTTATCAAATGGTAGATGACTAGATGTCTAAATATGTAAAAAGATCTATACAATGTGAACAATGTACAGCGAAACTTTGATGGTTCAAAGTTCAAGGGACTACCAAAACAAACTTGGATACATTGAGACTTCAAATCCTGCATGGTGGGTTATATTGTCATTTTCATTTGCATGGCTACAGTTGATGAAACAATATTTCTACCTACATAAACACAACAAATATCACAGCACAAGTTTTAATGAAAAGATGTATTTTTATCTTAAAACAAAAGACTTTCATTCATAAAGACAAAAAAGCATAACTTCAAATAGAAATCAATGAGAAATTGACAATGTATGCTTGTGTTTATATTCTTGCCTTTATGTCACACAGAATATGTATTTTACAGATAGATTTGAAATGAAACAGCACACAGCATAAAATAAAGTGGTCTTCAAGTGTTACAGTAATTATTTTAAGACATACATGAACATTATAGGCACAAATAAGTGAAAAAAGAAAGCAAATTTATATCATAATGTATTTTGTTTGAAACGACGGCACTAACATCACACATCTTTGTTTGCAGAAATTACAAGTGTTTGCCAATATGCTGACAACGGCAAGTAGGAATCAATGGGAGAATGCATGATTGACAGATAAATCACTGTGTTTCTAATGCTTTTATGCTTCAAGTTGAAAAGTGATGCTTTAGGAATGAGTGAAATCATCATACAAGTGATAGAATTTCCTCCAATTATTTTCACAATTCTGTAATTTAGACCTAACTATATGACATTACCAAAATGGCGGTGGTGAACATCACACGACATCCCATGATCTTTCATTCAATACCACGGCTTGTAAGTAAGCACTCAAACTTTAATCTGTGTCCAGTCAATTATTAACTTTATAACATAGAGCAATAATAGCGTGCTATCACACTGTCAGTTAGCAATGTATGAAAATTAGGTGATAGCAAAACTTTGATACATTGAAAAGTTTGATTTCTAAAACTCTGATTCATAAAGGGTTAAATTAATAGTAATATAGAGATAAAACTTTGATACAATTTGAATCATCAAAGCTCTATTCTTTGAAGTTTGACTGTATCTATATATGTAATATAAATAGACACATGGTTTAAAACTTACCTCCCCTCCACAGTTGTAATTTTTAGCATTAAGGAGTCCTACCAGTGTAGAATATACTGCCATTTTCTCAGGAAGTCTTGTTACACTACAACAAGCAATAGCACAAATCAAATCCCAACCAAGTAATTAACCACCAAATTATAATTCAGGAATTCTAGATATTTTGAAAAATTTTCTCAAGGTTTGTAACATCTATAGAATAGATGTTCTTATAACACAATCAGTAGACAATTTGAGTGTGAAGGGTACTAGTTGGGTACTAATCACTGGTTATTTGTCTGATGAAGGTGACCATGTAATCATAAAAACATCACACTCAAATCTTCTACTGGTTGTATTATAAGAATTTGTATTCTATAGGAATTCTGCATGTATGACACTTGGTGACATGTCAGTGAGCACAATGCAATTTATGCAATATCTTCAGGAAATATTATTTAGTACTTTGTATAAAAAAAATTCTATTTTATATACTAAAGTTAATACATACAGGAAAAGACCAAATAGTTTCTCACCATTCACAGAGAATGCGTATAATTTTGCCTTTGTAGTTGGGTAAATCTGCCTCCAGCACACTAGACAATCCTTCCAAGTTGCTTTCAAGTGATGAAGTACTCTACAAGGACAAAAAAATGTAAAAAAAATATATATAAATGGTTCAGGTTTTAATCTACCGTGCCTAAGCCATTTCATTTTCAAATCTGAATAAGGTCATGAAATGTAGATGCGATTCAAATATCAGAACCTCCTAGGTATGGCACTTAGCCTCACAACAAACACCAGTTTGCCTCTCCAGAATCTGGTGCCAGGGCAATAGTGAATCAATATTTTGGCTGTTCCTTATCAATTACATTCACAAACTCGGACTCTTTGAAATGGTTGTTTCCGGTTGAGAATTCTCTCCATTCTTACATATCCTGTACCGATGATACACTGTATGGTGTTTGAGAAACACAAACCTTTTCTCCAACTCTTGTGATGAGTGATTCCAATCGATCTTCAATGTCAATATTATCTGATGCCCTTCTTCTTTTCCTTGAGGAGTGACCCACTAAAATAAGAAATTTACAAATAATCATAATTTGAATTTCAAAAATGATCTGCTTGTGCTAAATGAAACTGCAGGTCAGTTGAAATGATTGTGTTGGAATTCAAATGCATCCTGTCAACCTTACAGTATGTGTTATGGCAAATATCACACATGGCATCATTTAGTTATCTTATTTTTGTCCATTTTCACTACTCTATGGAGTTTTCCATTGGGTGTATTTATTCTCTATTCAAAATAGCTTCTTTGACATCTAGAAGAATGTTTATAGCCACAGTGTATATATTTGCAGATAATTATCATTATTTTTTATTCCAAGAGATGAGGGAAGCTTTTGTGTGTTGGCATCAAAAAAGAGAATTTGTAAAATTCAATTTTTACAACAATTATTACGTCATTCAATCGTTTTTAGATGATATTTCTAGTGGGAAAATAATGCCATATTATTTTTAAAAGTTTGGTAATCTTCCACAAGTCCTTGTGCTCCATCCTAAACATGGAGAGGGTTGGAAAATATGCATTTTCTACATCTGCAAATGCTGACACAGGAGGTTGGAGCTTTTAATAATCGTATGCGTCTACAACTTCATAAATCTCTTTAGTGTCTTTACTAATGATAATGGCTCTAATTTCTTATTAATGCAGTCGAATTAGCTTTTCGGGAAACTCAATCAGTCCATCCGGAAATGTATACAACGTGATATAATTCTGGACCAGTATTTCACATGTTTATCTTAAATATTTAAGTTTTCACTGATAAAAAATCGTGACCGACGTCTACTATAAACCGCTTTCGAATAAACCAATTTCAATCTTTGTTTCAGAGCCGGTAATTAACATTTTGTCTGCAGCTGTAAATTTTCAATGTTCTCATTGTACAACATACTGTCTTCATCATCACTGTATGATTCTGCTCGACGCCGACGTGATGCCATCGTAACTTCACAAAAATTACGATGATTTTTACAACAACAACACCAAAACCGCCACACGAGAATCGACTCTGACTAAAGCGGAAGTTAAAGCGAAAGTCATGCGGACTGACTTTTTGTCTTTAATCTGATTGGTCGAGACAAAGGGAGGGCGATGCTAAAACACAGAACAGGTGGAACACGGAACAATGTTATCTTTAAAGAAATGTTTGTCATATATTATCATTTATGTATCATAGGTTTTTTATGTTCACTGCATTTGCAAGTTACAAAACAAGACATACATGTGTAAACAATGTACAAATAACGATTTCAAAACAGAAACGTAATCACATCTCTCTTTCTCAGTTATTTTTCCCTATATTTACTTTTTCATCTCCTCAACTTTAATGTAAACTCATTCAAAACACGATCTTCAATTTATTGAAGGTGGTCACCAAGCTGTATAAGATTATGAAGGAAAATTCAACATGACAATTTCCCCAATACAATTGATAATAATACTTATTATGTTGTAGTTAACTAAATTTTGAGTAGTAACCTCAACCAAAGTGGAAAAATGATAACCATGTTATACCTGGCAAAGATATTACTATAATCACGGACGTATAATATCTAAGTATGTGCTATAATAAGTTATGTGCTACAACAAGACATCTTTCTTAACATGAATTTCTATGATATCCAAGTTAGTCTGTTTATTTACTTATAGACCCCATTTATCATCTTTCAAATACTCGGCTTAGATTTTCCAAGTACCAGGTAACTCTTCGACAAAGTTCAAGATTTCTGACTAGATTCACAAAGTTTAGGGAGGTCCATCCATGTCTTCCGAAAAAATAGAGATAACAAATTTTAGTTTTCACATTTCAAGATGGCCACCTTTAGACCACTCTTTTTTGTATTCAGACCTTTTTCATTGAGGTACACCAATACCAACAGAAGGAAACATTATAAAGAAATCTGAGAGCTTTATCAATTATTTGCAAGAAAGAACGATAACAAACTTTCTATATTTAGCTTTTCCAATGACCCTCAAAGGGAGTGGGTACCACTTTGGTGTATATGAAGAATGACACCTGCATATCTATTGGCCGAAAGTCACACGTCAACTTTAAACTATGAAGAATGACACACACATATATATATTTGCTGAGGGTCAAATGACAACACTGTACTTTGAAGCACAACACATGTACACTCAAACAATTACTGTAAGCTACATGTATTCACTGAATAAGAAAAGAAAAAGATGCTGATATTCTACAAGATTTCTTTATTGTTTTTCTCATGAGACAGTTAATATTATTACATGCTGCACAGCACTGTTATTAACTACTAACAGATGAAAGACATTAACATCAATGAATATATTACCAACATTTAAGACGCATTAATTACTACTTTTAGATTACGACAATATAATCTTAATAATGTATGACTGCTGTATAGGTGTTTGGTTTTGGGCGACTAAGATTTCACAGTTATCCCAATGGAAATTAGTTCTTGGGAAATAAACTTTGCGAAATAAAACCTTGTCAAAATTTGTCAGAAAATAGGAAAACATGAGAGTTCTCCATTGAAGCCTTGATTCACCAACAACTTGTATTGAGAATTATTTAATCTACTGATTTATTAACTATATGTATGTAGTTAAGTATTAAAGGAAAAGACTAGTTGAATGTATTGCTAGTTAAAAAAAAAATGAAAAAAAAAATGCTTAGAAATATATACAAATAACTTATGGAATACTATGTAATGTTTTAATGAAAGGTCACCAAAGGTGGGGCTCGCCTTGTAACAGAAACTATTTTGACCAATAACTTTATATTTGGAGCAACGGTTTTAAATCTGTTAGAGTTAATACCTGATATACAGCAGAGAAGGTGTGCCTTGGTGATATCAATATTCATGATCGGTTGTAATTTCATTCACCTTTGACCCTCATTTGTGATATAATCAACATCTAACTGTAAAAAACAGTTTTATTACTTGTAAAGAAAGATTTCATGACCGGTATTTGATTGTCATTGATCAATGAAAGGGATCAATATTTTTAAATTAAAATATCACTACAATATCTATGAATGATTTACTACGGTATGGCTGCAACAGAATCACCAGTATCTGCAGAACAAATAATGATGTAATTTGCATGGAAGATTCAATACCATGCATCCCTAGAGGAAAGTCACAAGGATTGCCTTCTAATCTACTTCTTGTAAATGGGAAAATACAGACTCCATCAAATTGTATCAACTTCCTTGTTTTTTGCACTATTGGGTGCGGGCACAACATCACACCTACATATAAATCTGTCCTGAGATAGGCTTAACAAATAACTATGTGCTAAAGCATGTATTTTCATATTGATGCCTTGCTCAGGCATATTGCAATAATTATCACAAATGCCATCGTCAAAAAGACAATAATATTAAAATCTGTAAGATATCACAGACTCAGTCACAATAATGTTAATGTATTTCTATAACAGCCTCTTTTATCTGTGATAAAGATGCACCAGTTTATAGGAACATTGATACAAAAATGTATGTGTTAAACCATTATGTGAGATGTTCTGCATAATGTTTCTGTATCTGCTTTCTGGTTTATTGTTCTGTGAACAGCCAGCGTAATTCAGAGGTGGGTCTCCTTTCAGTAGCCTGTAGCTGCCTCACTGAACAACATACCAGATGTCCATGATTTCATCTTTCTGAGGAAGACACTGGTCAGTTATATCAATCGGTCATTGGATCAGAGGAACACAAACTGCCACAGGTAAGATGAAACCACACCTCGGATCTTCCCTGGAGATTGTATATACTGTATGGACTTCACAATATCAACGTTTCATAACATCTCTAGTATTTGAAGCATTGTCTTAGAAATAAATATGTGTATGTATTAATGAAATTGATTTATTTCATCAACAAATTACCATTCATGCGGTAGTTAATCAAATAACAATAAATTTGCTCATTAATTGCCATTCAAAACAATTGGTATGCATTGATAGAAAATTTAAAATGGACCCGATAAAGCTTTCAACATTAGATATATAAACAGATATTAGGAATAACGGTGTAATTGGAATGACTTTAACATGTGATTTAGTAAAGTTTAAATTGGATGTTTTTAAAGACTATATTCAATGTAACAGTACACTGTAATATGAACATACAGTTCTTTTGAAGAAATAGCACATTAAGATTGAATGGTGCTATTTGTGAGAAAAAAGCTTTCTTAAGAGACTGCATAATTATGAAAAGATGGTTTTCTTTAAAAAATTACATATACTTTTAAACAGATTGTATATTTACTGAGTGTAAAAGAAATAGTTTTCTGAAGAAAGACCACACTAAGAGTAACTATATTTAATAGTTTAAAGCGAAATCAATACTATAAAATCAAATTTTTTGTGGGGCTTAATTTTTGTGGTTTTTGAAAAATTGCTTTTCTGTGGAGACCTAAATTTGTGGATAAAAAGAGCTCAATATATCTGCTTATACCAATTTAAACAGTTCAAGGACATATTAATTCATTGATTACGTGTACCATGAAATGAATAAAATAAAACCCTACAATAATTATTAATTTAACAGTAACAATATGACAAATCCAGAGGTACATGATATACAATTAAAATTTGGCAAGGACCTCGTCAAAGTATACAACATCCCTGTAATAGTGAATAGGCGGTCAACATTAGTATTATCCTTTCTTCTGTTGGTGACAAAAGAAAATATAATGAAGTCATAAATTAGGTCTTTAGAATAGCAGCATTATCCTGACTTCACAAACAGATTAAATAGCACAGTGTGTAAAAGGCACTATGTAAATTGCATCAAATGATATATATTACAATAAATAAGGAGAAATGTACAAATAAGGCTAAGAAAAACATAAGAAGTAAACAACATTTCGTACTATTTACATGATGCTAACAAACATTTTCTTTACCTTTTAAAACAAACCTTAACCTGTCCAACTTTCCTGGTTTTTGTTTTACAACAACATCTGAAAGCTCTTGTTAGGGATGATGATAGGATATAAACAATAATCTAATGGTATAAAATCATCTCGTGTGATAATCATTTGTAATTATCATAATCAGTCTTCAGTTCCTTATAGTTTTCTTGTGTTTCAGGAAAACCAAATTCATATAAAGTATGATGAAGATGCCTATTGCCAATGATATTCATTCAAGTGCAAATTCTTGGTGTGTGCCGTATTTTAGGTTAAAATTAAGTAAATATTACTTCAAGGAATAATACAATCACTTTCCATGAATATTAAACACACAGCCTGTTGATTATTTGATTGATTAATTACATAAAAAGTAAAAGTCTATCTGATTTTAACAAATAATTGATAATGGATTTTAACCAAATCCCATCATTAGTCCTAGTTATAGGACAATAACATGGTCGATTCCATCATACACATTTTTACACTAAACTCTACCCATGGTAGCATTTTCATGGCTAAAAGTTGTCTACATATTTTTGACCAATGAAAATCAAGTGATTTAGGTGTATATAATAGTTTGGAACTGCTGTCCTTCTGACACATTGTAAACCTAATTAGCTTCATCTCTGGTGGGTTATATACACTGTGACTTGTCTAGACAAATTTGTTTCAATTAACTAGCAAATTATTGTTCAACCCATATACTGCAAACAATACACAAATAGAATTTATATACGTTAAGTAAAATCTCATTGGTTAGTCTCCAAAAGTGATGATGTTAGTACGACAAAATTTCAGAAATCAATAACTTAAGCTGTGTAAAATTTAACACAGTATTATACATATAAATGTTGCTATGAATTGGATATGACAAAAGTAAACGTGGTTCATGTTATGTAAACAGTATAAATAATATCACATCAATTTACCCCATCACAGAAATAAAGGAACATTTATAAATAAGTGAGAAATATGATTGTGTGTCAACATGAGCAGCATCACAGACAAGATCTATGTATACTTGGTCCATATGTATAGGAAAATATATTAAGTACAAAAATTATGATGAAATGTAAATGTATGATGTATCTTGAATACAGAATTTATCGCTATAAATATAGAATATATATAATTACTTCAAGAAATATGTGACATCAAAACTCTCAAAAGCATCTACTGATCTACAAACTTGTATTGATTGATTTATTGATTTATTTCATTTGCAAACAATAACCAATAATGAAGCAAAATTGAAGGCACAAGCGAAGTAATTTGATTGGCCAATCACAGGCTGATGTGCTCCTTTTGAAGATTACAAAGGTGCGACACCCAAATTCAAAGACATGCCAAGATACTGTCATACAATTTGTTAAATGTAAATCAAAGGGTCACACTAGTCACACATGGAGCTGTCAATTTTGCCATGACATATTTAAGGTGTGCAGAGAACAGTAGTGATCTTAACCCCTGGTATCGAGGATGTACCTTCTCAAGCCTCTATCATTATATCTTGCGCATCAACTGCCAACAATAAAACCTGTTGAGAAATAAGTCTACATATTTATTAGATAAAATCAGTCACATATTAAGATAAACATTCATGCACTTGTTACCATCTATGACTACATGGTACTCTCTTGTTTTCAAATGAACATACCATAGGTACTTTGTGGTAAAGATCAAAGACATATTGACATGTTTTTGAATACAAAAGTACATGATGCTAAAATATTCTCTTATTTCAAAATCGCACAAGCTTTGTTTATTTTTTCTATTTTCTTATTTTAAAAAATTATATCAGCCTACAAAATTACATGCTCTGCTTTTTCTGTTCTGCTCTTTCACAAAATTACACAGGCTTTGCTTTTCTCTACAGGTTTTTGCTGAGGTTGTTGAGCGTTCCCTTGGACCTGAGCAGGTTCCCTTTTACTCCCAGATTTAACTCGTGGGGTGGAGGGTGTTGTTTGTGGAGTGGATTTTGCATCATTCTCTTTCATCTTTTGTGAAGAAATAGGAGTGGTGTTATTGTCTGTTGTCTCTGGTGATGTAGAGTGATTTCCTTCTTTGCCCTGTGGGATTGGTGGAGGATCTTTGTTTATGACCTCTGGGGTAGGGGCTGGATTAATCTCTCTGGCCTCCAGGTTGGGGGAAGGATTACTCGCTTTGGCCTCTGGGTTAGAAGATGACATAACTTCTTTTTCAGTGTTTGCTGCAGCATCATCTGATTCCTTTTCATTCTGTTCTGCCCCTTTCTGATTAACTTCTTTTTCTTCCTCTTTTCCTTTTTCTGGTGCCTCCACTTGTAAATTTTCTGTAGGCTGTTTCAGGTCCTCCGTACTTGCTGTTGTTACTGAACCAAAGCCGACAGATTTTTTGACACTTTTATCCTTGGAAGGTTTCTTCAGTGCTGACTCCTTTACTTGTGATTCTTGTACCTCTTCGTTACTGATCTCCTTAAGAACAGATTGCATTGCAGCTCTGTGTGCTGGCTTGCCTAAGTTCGATGCACTGCGAGACAATGTTCGCCTTATTGAATCACGCTCAACATCGTCCACCTTCAAAGCTGTAAAAAGAAAATTGGAGTCACATATATATTTTTCATCATCTGTAAATGTCTTCTTTGAAAAATTTAAACTTTTCTTTTTCAAAAACATTTAAAAAGATGTGAAACAGAAAACTTCGGAAGTAATATTGCATCACAAGTGAGATTTTACTTTTCACATAATTTTTATGTACTCAACCCTGAAAGATATATGAGTTACAGTGATGTATTGCATGAATACAAGACATTTACAGAGTTGCCCCTTAGGTGATGTGCTTCTATCCTCAAGCAATAGGTAGTGGCCTCCAATGGGAACAGAGGAACTTTACACCAACTTGTCAATATGTACAAAAATGTCACTGAACTAAGACTGAACACTGATATTATGTTACTATAATAAAAAACAAATCGATACAAATAGAACATTCCAAGGAACATGTCGACCAATCAGATCTTATATTTGCCTGAACATGTCAACCAATCAGAATTGTCAATTTTCCACATGTTTAAATTGTGTCTGAACAATAACTCCTCAATATTTGTTATTGTGCTGAAGACTGAAGAGAAACAAAATTGAAGAGAGGAAATACAAACCTTTCAAAATTCTTTTAGCTTTTTTTGTGGATTTAAATTTAAAAGGAAGTTTCTGCTCCAGCCTCAAACAATCTACCATAGCTTCTAGCCAAGGTTGGTTGGTGACCTTGTGTTTGACCTCAGTCACCTTGTCACTCAAAACTGTGACCTTCATGTCCTTGGAATGCTTTTCACACAGCCAGACCGTCTTCCCACTTGGCATACGGCACCTAAGTTCATAAGAATATAGTGGTATTAATAAAATTTCATCTGGCCCCTCTAATATTGCTGTATATATAGCCATAGGACAGAAATAGGTTTGAAAGTAACAAATTACAGATTACAAATTACGTCATAAAAGTTGATAAGAAGCTTTCAAAGTTCAAACATAATTTAGCAAACATAATAATTTACTTTACTATTTACTTGGTTTATTGACCCTGAACAGCCATGGTCATTTTGAGATGAGGTCTCCTTGAAGCAGCTGGTTAGCTACTTTTCTGAACATCATGCAGGAGGCCCATCTCAAGCTATCTGACCATGCCTGTGCAGGAAGGTTTGTGAGCTCAGCTTCCACACACCGTGGATCTTCACATGGCTATGATGCTCTACCAACTGAGCTATTGCCCCCTCTTTTGCGAATTTGAGTGTGATAGTTTAAGACATATACTATCCTATATCAACATAAATAAGCCTACTGAGCTGTGGTAGTGTAAAAATACACTGTATTAAAACATGTTTTAGTAATGTAATCTTTTCTAAGTTTTAAACATAAAAGAACACAAGCCATGCTTGTGATTTATTTGAGCTCTCTCACCTGTTCAATTTCCCCTTCTCCATATTTTTGTCCATATCAAACACCAACTGACGAATATTGATGTAACATGACTGGAAATCATTTGTGTTTTTCATGGCCAGCTGTGAAGTAAAAATCAAAATGTTATATTTGCATTAGGCATTTTAAAAATTAACAATCCTTTCCAAAAGATAGTTAGGAATCATTTTTTTTTGTTTTTTTGTTTTAAATGATATCTACCAAGTAGACATACTACAGAATCTAGAAACAGAATGTTTAGGAATAAATCTTAAACAAGGGATCCCAGAGTGGTCTCGGCACCCATCATTATTTGATCTTTCTTTATTGAAACTTTGCCCCTTCTCTTCTCTTCTCTCGTCTGATTTGCCTCCTAATTTTATGAAACTTCAGAATTCCTCTTAAGATATAGAAATATAAAAACAGACAAATCAAAGCTGGACACCTGTCAGCCATTTTGTTATCCCGATCAGTCCCAAAATCAATGGCACAAATATGAAATTTGAGAAAGAAGCATCTAGTCATTCTATGAAAACGCGATGACAAACTTTCATTGTAATAATCCAAGATGGCCACCTGTAAGCCATTTTATCTTTCTTATCAATTTTAATATCAAAAAGGCACAAATCGGAACCATGGAAAACAAACATATGAAATTTAAAAAAGATCCATCCAGCCCTTCTGTGGAAATAGCACAAACAAGAATTGTTCAAGGACAGATGACAAATGGACGACAGACAACAAATGGATGACGGAGCGTGGCAGCAATGCGATCTTGATTAAAGATGATACAAGATAGTCATCAAAACACAGGAATTTACTATATACTTTTCAGGCACTAAAAAAGGCTGATATTACATGCTTTTACCTCCTGTATCAACTTGAGGTAGTGTTGTCCATCATTACTGCTGAACAGGTCAAGGACAAAGTTAGGGTCATGTCTCATCACCATGGTTATACGAGCTAAGTAGGCAGCATATAAATCTAGTTGTCCTGCATCAAACCTGAATCTCATTTCAAGGGGATCACACACGCTGTGCCAGCCCTGAAATAAACATACATATATATATATGTACTAATGATTTCAAAATTGTGTGCTAATTTCTTCTTACAACTATACTGGTATCAAACAAATTCTAAGATGAAATTTAAATTTCCACTACAATTTTAGACATAGAGAGATGTACCTTTATTGTATGTTGATAAAATCTATCCTATTCTAATTCTCAAATTTACAAAAATCAAAATGAAGTACTGGTGGCTGATGTAGTATGATAAAGTGTAGCCCGTGGTAAAGTGAACCGCGGTTCATTTCAACATTATGGTATTTTGACACCAGTTAATTTTCTCATGCTTCACAATACCATGCTACACCGGTACAGACATTTTTTAACAATTTGCATCAGAGGGTTTAAATGTCCTAGCTTTAACAACAATCATTACTTAGAATTATACATAAAACAAAAAAAATAGGTCAACATATGAAAGTTATTATTGCTGTTAGGCAGTTTATTTTGATAACAACCTTATACATGGGGAATATTGTAGGTATACAATATAGATGTTACTTGTCCATCTGAAACATGTACTTACTTGTTCACATTCACACATTGTAAAGACATTCAAAAAGAATCCTTTATTTTTGATAGAGTCAATTTCAGACTCTGCTGATTGGTCATTGTCTACAATAGGAACAAAATCAAGTTTCAAAATCGTGATTTGATGACAACAATATTTTGACCAAATAAAAATCTAGTATGGTATGTCAGATATATCATTTACAAAAATCAAAAAGTGATGCCTGACACAGAGGAAAATCTATATATGTGAAGAAATAGCAATCAAAATAATGAATTTTCAAAAGGGATGTCAGACAGGCACAGAAATTGAATTTCAAAAAGCTTATCATCTGATGATAGAGTGCTAAAAGTTGTTCATAATAGCATGGTAACACGGGAAAAATTCATTAACATTCCAAAACAAAAACGAATTGAAAATTAACCTGAATATAAAGACTGATGAAAGGACAAACAAGAGGGTAAATATGATATTCCTTGTGTCATGTAATGTTGCATGTGTGCATCAAAATTTGGTTTGATGACAAGTTACATGAAATATGAAATGTCATCAATGAATGACTTATGTTTTCTATGTTGTAAATATGAAAAACTCTGGAGTAAATTTTGTGATTTTACAATCATACAAGGCACTTTGTAATATTATTCAACAGATGGAACAGTGATCACCCTGTTTCTACTCACATGTACTTTTCTTTGGTTTTGCAATATCCGCTACAAAGAGCCGTGGGTAGTTACCAATGTCATGGTTACTTGCATAGCTGCTTATCTGCCTGAGGAACTTCCTCTGGGTCAACTCGTATATTTCCTGTAAAGATGGAGGAATCCTCTATGTAATTACTGATGTATAACTAATATTGATCATTGTGTCAATTTCACCAGTTTTCATTTCTCTAGCACTACATGAATTACTAATTTCTGACAAATTAAGCCATACATACAATAATATGAAGTACTTAACATTGTACAAAGTCATTTTATTTTGTTTTTCATTTTTTAGACTCTCAAACATTTTTATAATTTCTGTAAAATACACGGTATTTTATTCTATGAAATAATGTAAGTTTTATTATTAATCAGATGTACTGGTAGATAGGGGTATATAAAAACACAAACACAGGTTTGGGCCAAAAGTAACCAATATTTTATTATTATGTAATATTATGTAACATTACAAAATTATATATCTGTGGACAACACAGTCCACAAATAATGAAATACTGGTCTTCTGCTAAGAGACAAATACAACTAATAACTACAACATAAAAGATCTAATCTAAAGGGATGGGTGGGATGGGTGTTTATCATTCAGGGTTCTAAAGCCCTGTCAGTGCTGGAGGTGGGACCTGGTCACTCCACAGTGCTCTGGAGACTGTGGCTGGGCAGGTCAGTGCAGCAGTGTAACCTACAAACCTCCTTGGTTGTCATTGGCTAAACCTGTCAAGGTGAGGAGGTTAATGGCTGACCATACAAATCCCCCTTATAGGCACAATGTTTCTCAATGGTCCCATTGCCCCAAACTTGACATGCCAAATGTTAGCCCTGACCCCTGGATAACCGACTTGATAAAAGTTGGGGCCATCTGACAAGAATGACACTCCATCCCACCTCATTAATATTGTATTAATTACTTAATACCTACATTAATCAGATGTACTGGTAGATAGGGGTATATAAAAACACAAACACAGGTTTGGGCCAAAAGTAACCAATATTTTATTATTATGTAATATTATGTAACATTACAAAATTATATATCTGTGGACAACACAGTCCACAAATAATGAAATACTGGTCTTCCAAACTAATAGCCCAAACCTGTTAATAGAGTAGGAAAAATTAAACATTCTTAAAAAAAAAAAAAATGTATGTCCATGGTGTGGTGGAATATTACCGGTTTCTATTATACAGGCGGTAATTAGCAGACATATCAGCAGATCACAACAACACACAAATGAAGATCGATCCAATAAGATTTCAATGTCCAGCTGAAGGTAACCACACATTCAAAAAAAAAAAAATAAAAAAAATAGAGTCAAGGCAGGCAGTCCAAAACACTAATGTCCAGGTCCTGAAAGTTATGACTGAGAAACTTAACACAAATACAATATTCCACTGATAGCTACTGTAATCACAAACAAGGATGCAGCCTATCTCTCTCCAATACCATTGTAGTGTGATACTGCCTTTCCTAAAGTATAGGCAACTTTGAGACGTAGCGACAAGGATGGGTCCAAGTAGCGTTTATAGGCGTCACTACGCCAATCTCCCTGAGTTTGGATGAGGTCAGCAGGTAAGCCACATTCTAAAGCAAAAGATGCCCCACCCCTGCGAAAGCTATGGCCTGAGTATCTAGCTGGGTCAAGGCCACATTCCTGGAGGATAATATGAAGCTGTGAGAGGAAAGATTCGTATGTAAGGGGGATGATTGTACCCCTTGACTGGTAAACAAAGGCTGGGCCCTGTGGGTCAGCCTGCCGTGTCAAGGCAAGGGCCAAGGTCAAAGCCTGTGTAGGGCAGAAGGGTGACCCTGGTATGCATGGGAGGGGGATAAGAAGGCATCTCTCCTTAAACTGAATGGTTTTTGACCAGGTAATAGACAGAATTGTACCCTGGTTGGAGAGATGGATATCATGTCTACTTAGGTGTTTCCCAGATTCAAACTTGTCTTTATCTGAGATAAACAAATTGGACTTACGAAAAAAAGAGAAAAAGGCTACTAGGCATGCTGCCCAAAAAGTGATATGTTTGGAGGAGGTTAGACAAATTCTGGAGAAAATTTTTTCCAAGATGCTAAGGTTGATTGGGAGTTTAGGATTGCAACCATCACCCATTGTTCTACGTGCTCCTTTCAATATAGTACTGACATAAAAGGAGTCAAGAGGACTGGGGTAATCCCATTCCTGGTGTAAAAGCTTGATGACTGACAGATACTGCCTTATTGATGAAAAGGTAAGTCGATCAGACAAATAAGCAATATAGCGTCCCAAATTAACTGGTGATAAAGGGACTAATGGTATCTCTACAAGCATGCAAAACCTTCTGTATGAAGACAGGTATGTACTGTAGGTCTTCTGAGTAGACTTAGCAAAATGGTTTGCCCGTAATACGTCTACAGTCGTATCAAGATTCTTGATTATGGTGGATTTCGGTGAAGGACCTTGGCCACCTGTTCAGAAACATAGAAAAAGGAAGGTGCTGACATGTGATCCAAAAAGTAAAGAGTTGGTACTGATCTACCAAATCTACTGCAAAACTGTTGCAAATGGACAGACTCGTGAAGCCGAGACACAGAGTCTGCCATGCCATTGTTAACACCTTTAATGTGTCTAGCAACTATGTGAAAGTTGAACAAAACAGACAACCAGAACATATTACGTAATAACCCCATAAGTATTGGGTTTTTGGACGTGCCCTTATTTAAACAGGCTACTGTGGTTGCATTATCGCTAAAAACATATATTTTCATGTTGGTCCAACAAGAGGCCCAACGATACGATGCAACAACTACTGCAAGTAATTCCTTTTCATTAATATGCCAATGCATGGCCTGGGGGAAATCTTGAGACCAGGCTGTGTAGAACCAGTCCTCCCCCCAGTGTCCCCCACCCCAATAGGACATGCATCTGTATACAGTGCAGTGAAGGGGATGTCATTGAGTAACAATGACTTGCCATTGAAAAGTGATAGGCCTGTAACCCACCATTCAATGTCTTGTAACATTGGGCCAACTAACTTGACTTTGTGACCTGGCTTTTTAAGGGCTGCCATAGAGTTAATCAACCGACGGAGAAAAACTCGCCCGCCTCGGATAACTGTAGCGGCCCATGACAGTTGTCCCACAATGGATTGTAACTGTCGTTTAGTAGCACGTTTGCGATTACGGAAATCGCCAATATCAGATCTAAGAGCTTCCAGCTTCTTCAAAGGTAATTGTAACATCATACTGACCGAGTCAATCTCAACGCCAAGAAATGTCATAACCTGAGCTGGGCCATGTACCTTAGACCAGTTAATGAGAAATCCCAACTTTCTCAACAGGCCTATAAGATATGCTAACATAGAGGAACATTCCTCCTGAGAATCTGCACAGATGAAGAAGTCATCCAAATACACCACCAGATTGTGGTGTCCAGCACAGGACATAATCCTGCGGACTGCTTGTGTAAGTCTATGAAAAATTCCAGGACTTGCCTTTGCTCCAAAAGGCAGCTTAGAATCATAGAAATAGTGGGGTTCACCATTTAAAGTCCATTGGAGTCCTGTTACCATTCGACTATGTTTACTTATAGCTACAGATCTATAGGCTGACTTAAGGTCAACCTTGGCCATAAAACAACCTGGGGTAAGTAGCCCAACCGCATTATCTATAGACTGGAATTTTTGTTTATCCATTGTTGTGCAGTAGTCATTAACTGCCTGTCCTGATGGCCGGCTACAGTCATGAATGAGTCTGACCCCACCAGATGTTTTAGGGATAACCCCTATCGGACTAATGATAAGGGGTTTAGTGGCAATAGGGATGTAATTGCCATTAGCTATTTCCGTATGGACTTGCTGTGAGGCAAGTTTGTAAAAGGGGCTGTGAATAGATGCAGAGGGATGATTGGGAGCTTCACAATGAAGGGGAGTGGAATTTGGGTCAATAATATCAAATCCATTGGTGATACCATTAAGAATAAAAGATCTACCAAAATCATTAGGGGGAAGAAGCTTGTCCCAGGCTTGATAGGACAGGCCATGGGTGGGACTGTTTGATTGCTATGCATCAGATTTATGGGAATGAGCAGGGTGATTTTGTGTACACCCAGAGACTAAACAAATGTGGGCATACTTACAGTTTGTCCTGTCACACCCAGGAACAGTATTGTAGTTTCTACAAATTCCCTTTTTTTCCGATGTTTTCCCCTTTCTCTTACCAATTGAAGTTTGGGGAAATGATCGAGGTTGTTTAGGCCTTAGATAAACTGTTTGGAGGTGAGGTATGTCAGTACCCCACCGAAACTGGTCTTCAGCCTGCAGCCTGCGGTATTCCCTATCAAAAAACCAGACTGATGACTGCTCATAACAGTTCAACAGCTGATAAATGCGGGTGGTGTATGACAGGTAATCAAACATCCTTTCCCTAGGAAGTGCCTGATCCTGAATTAGCTTATATAAGATGGCCAAGTTTGCAACTGACCACTGAGGAACCGTGACAGATTCTAATTTAGGCTTTGATGGACCTGCTTTATAAACTAATTGCCCCCCCTCAACGCCCTCTGCTGACCCCAGAACTTCCTCAGATATTTGGCCACCCCGTACATTGACAAAATCAACAATATCCAGATAGGCTGCACCCTTACCTGTAGTAGCTGCTGCCCGGAGATACACTTGTGGGTCCCTCCATGATGCCGATTCACATACAGGACGAGTATTTGTGGCTTCCTGCACTTTTGCCTGCTGATTGTTCATTTGGCCCAGCAGATTGGCCACACTGTCCATGTAGTCCTCTGTTGGCCCACGAACTGTTGATGGTGTGCTTGAATGCCTTATCCCTTCTGATGACTGCTGATGTTTTGTGGAATCTGTGCATTCAATTCCTGATGGTGGCTTGTTATGGGTAAGGGGACCCATATGTCCCTCTTCTGATTTTTGATTGGCCCCCACTGAAGCCTGGCAAGGGGTTTCTTTGTGTTTAGGTCCATTATGCTGTGCATATGAACCATTCGGAAATGTCTGAGCCAATGCTTTCAGCAGAAGCTTTTGCTGACCAACCGGTATATTTGAATTAACCAGGTCTTTTGGCTCCAACAATGCCAAAGCTTCCATACACTGGAAACCAAGCTTCAGTAATATTTCTGATGTTCTGGCAGACAGGCGTTTAAATGCTGCCCATTTTTTTACTTTGCCTTCTTCCAGGTCTTCTTGGCTGACAGCTTCCTCAATGATTTCATCATCCGAATCTAAATCCGACATAGTGAGTGGATTTCTTTTTCTGGTGTTTATCATTCAGGGTTCTAAAGCCCTGTCAGTGCTGGAGGTGGGACCTGGTCACTCCACAGTGCTCTGGAGACTGTGGCTGGGCAGGTCAGTGCAGCAGTGTAACCTACAAACCTCCTTGGTTGTCATTGGCTAAACCTGTCAAGGTGAGGAGGTTAATGGCTGACCATACAAATCCCCCTTATAGGCACAATGTTTCTCAATGGTCCCATTGCCCCAAACTTGACATGCCAAATGTTAGCCCTGACCCCTGGATAACCGACTTGATAAAAGTTGGGGCCATCTGACAAGAATGACACTCCATCCCACCTCATTAATATTGTATTAATTACTTAATACCTACATCTTTTCACAAGGTAAATCTTGTAGCTGCTATGTACACAAAAAAAAATACCAAATTCAAGGAAAATGCATCCCGCTTTTTCTGCTTGAAAATGTTCCTTTAAACACTCTGACAATGCTATTTTTATTTTACCCTCATTGCATATTCATAGAGAAATTTATTTCATTTTCATTTTCAGATAGCAGAAAGGAAGGAAATTTCATGTTATGTTTCTGGTATGATCAAATTACATTCAGGTACAAATAATTATATGGGAATTTGCAAATCTCAGAATTACATATGACAGTACGTGAAAATACATCATAGATGTGGTATGCTACACCATATGTTTAATTAGCAATATGTCATACTTTATATGGAAGTACCAATAGCATCATACTTCACATGGAGATACAACTGGCCTTATCGCATAAAAAAGTACCAATATGTCATATATTATAATGAGGTACCAATATGTCAGGCCTTTTAATGAAGTTATTATTATTATTATTACATTTTTAACGGCCCGTCAACACATAAAAGGTCATTAGGGTCATCAAACGGTAAAATACACAACGATCCAAAAGGAAATTACATTAAACAAACCAAAAGGTAAAAAACAAATGTTAAAAATCTTAAAAGGGTATGTTAACACAAAAATATTAAAATGCTACATCATAGTCTATTATACAGACCAACATCTTTCAGGTAATGTAGAATTTTACAAATCTCAGCAGTTTCAAAAAGGGATTTTAGACATGTAATGTTACGATAAAAGCGTTCTCGAGTAGACAGAAGGTTAATGCAGTCCAATAAAAATGTTTAACGGTGAATGACTCATCACACCCTATGCACAAAGGATTATATTCACCTTTCAACATATATGAATGTGTAAGGTATTTATGACCCAACCTAAGACAGGAAAGGACAACTTCGTCTCGGTGGCTGTCTCTATAGCCTGGAGACCATTCACCAATAACAGGTTAAACGGAGTGCAATTTGTTTTCAGTATAGGTATTCCATCCCTCCTGCCACTGAGCTTTTAAAATTTATTTAATAAATGGTTTAAAATAGGTAAAATGAAGTTTAAAAACAACATGTGGTAGCGATAAAGCTTCCTCTGGGTCACAATCTGATTTGTCATTGTCTGGTATTCCCATGTGTCCAGGAACCCAACAAAAAGCAATACGAAAGTTAAAGGCAAGTTCTTGATATAGTATTAAGGTATCAAGAATGAAAATATATAACAATCAGTCACATGTTGTAATTGAGTACCATATAGGAAAGTACTGTCAATATGTCATACCTTATATGGAAGAACTGTTTTGTCATATGTTACATGTAAGTACCAATATGTCATTCCTTATATGAAAGTACCAATTAATCATACCTTATTAGGAAGTACAATATGTTATACTTCAGAAGGAAGTACATTGTACTAATATGTTATATGTTGATATGGAAGTACAAATTGATCATACCTTAAAAGGATGTGCTATTACATCATACCTTATAAGGAGGTACCAGCATGTCATACCTTATATGGAAGTACAAATATATCATATGAACTTCTATTCTACCAATATATCATGTCTAACAAGGAGGTATCCATATATCATACCTTATATGGACAAACCAATAAGTCACATCTTACATTAAGACATGAGTTTATCATACTTAGTATGGAAGTGTGTCATACTTTTTAAATAGATACAAGTACATCTTAGTAATTTTACTTACCTGGAATGACCTATTTGCCTTTTCCTCATTAGCTTTGTCTTTCTTTCTTTTCTTATCCTCTGCATCCTCTGCGTGTTCTGCTAACATGTTTTTCTGTACAAGTTTCAACAGGTCCTGACAGGCATTGTCATTATGGCGTTGAAAGTTTACTGTCGGAAATGACAATGAGTGGAATCCAACCTGAAATTTTCAATTTTCACATAATATTACAACACTCTGTGTATGATAATGACAGGTATAACTTTACCAGATTCAATTCATGTCTTCATGCAATTGAACAAATTATGAATTTTTGTTGTAAATGTCCTTACTCAATTCATCTTTACTGTATTTTGAACACCTGGTATGTGTATCCACAGCTCACAATGTTTAGCTTAATGATAAGAATTTTGTGACTTGGCCTTTAAAAGCAGATGGAGATGATGAACACTTGTACCATAACTTAGCCCTAAGAAATAGACCGAGTCGTACCTCTGTTCGTTTCCACTTTTCACCTGTCCCAACAACAGCGATCACTATTGGCAATCCAAGCTGCAGGGCAAATCGTAGTTCTTTACAGCAAGTCTTTGACTGGGCATATTCATCAGACACACAAGCAACCATTATCCGTGCCTCAGACATTCCTTTTGCGATTCTGCTGAACAACTGGTCATTCTGTTCATGAAAATTATATTTTAGAATGATTTCATATCATGGTGTATTTGATTTGTTTACAAGTAATAATGAAATTAAGCGCAATCAAGGTGGCAAAACTATATTTGTCAAACAAGAGGTTCAGAGGGCCTGTATAGCTCAAATCAATATTAAAGCAAAATTGAAAAAAACATTCTTACAGAAAATTGTATTAAACAGTGTAACCTGTCTGGCTTAAAGACCAATTTAAAATTAAGATCTGTTTTAAAAAGTCACAAAAACCAGTTTTGCACTGAATTCATCATTGAGCAGTCAGAAATTTACCAGGAGTTTGTTCTGTTTACAGGGTAATGCTCACTATTGAGATCACCTCACTATTAAAACCACTTTGTCTAATACCGAAGGTGATGTTAACAGTGTGACCTTTTAACATCTACATTATCCCTCTATATGCTACACATGTGTTTTTCAATACATATTTACACTACATCCTTCAGAATTGCTGATTCAAACCTTATGATTCTGGGGACATGTTTTTGACTTACTCAACATAGCATATTCTAATGACCTTGAAAGTATGTCAAAGTCATTGATATGAGAACATTTTCTATACAACATTCAGATACCCGTTGGACATATATCAGTATGCTGGCTTTTCTTGAAGTTAAGAAAGAGACTTGACCCCTTGACCCATAGGTACACTGTAAAATATTGGGAACTGGTTTCTTAAAAAAGTAATTCCATTGAAAACACTGAGAGATAAGTGATAAACGACAGATGATGAATGTTATGTGATACATTAATCTACTCCATCAGCCATACTGAAACAGAATAAATACATACACACAGACTATCTGCTGGGCCAACCCTACTAGTCCTATACTCACATCTGGGAGAGCATCTTGACTTACCACATTGACTTGCTCCACATCAATCCAGCAGCCTACACCATGTTCCTCTAAATATTTTTTCAGTTCCCGAGGGTCTCCTGGGCCAATAGCTCCAGATAGCTCCCTATGAAAACAAATATTTATAACAAGGATTTTTGGGCAACACCAAATCTACCCAAGGATATTCCGAAGTCTGTCTGTATGTGTTATCACCTATCACATCTATATAGGTCACAAGTTATCTATATAATCTACATACTTTTCTAGATCACATGCTATCAATATTGGTCACATGATACCTATATAAACTATACAGGTCACATACCATCTATATATATATACCTTTGTAGGTCACATTTTATTTACACAAGTCACATGTTTTCATTATAATCTATATACCATTTTAGCTAATGTGTTATATATATAGGCCACATATGAAGTATATAAGTTACAATACATCTATATATATGTAAGCTATAATGGTCACATGTGATCTGTATAGGTCACTTGCGTTTTTTGTCATGTGTGTAAGAATACATTAGCGCTAATTACAAATTCACTTTAATAAACCAACTTACTTTTGAGCGTGATTTACTTTTTTTGATTTTTGCATTAAAAAATAATTCCTATGAAAGTTAATTGCCAGGAACATCATGTGACATGGGTATTGTCAAAGTTCAAATCTGGGGCCATGATAGAGAGTTTACACTAAAATACATGAATAGTATTTCAGTATAAGCCAATCAACTTATGACATACTTGGTACCAGAATCCACAGCAGTACGAGAATTGACCCAGGAGTAGCTGATGAAGCAAGGGTTGGATGTCTCTGGCTTGGCTAGACTCAGTTCTTCATTCTTCTGCAGCGTGGTCAGTAATTCAGCAAATTTAGTCTTGTATACATCCTTCTTAGAGTTGATCATGTTCACAAAAACCTACAACATATAATTCAAAGCACTGTGAATATCTCTTACTTTCTATTAGATCTCGTCACAGTCAGCACAGAACAGTATAATATGTACTGAGTTAATCTTTTCTAGTCCTACTCTGATTTGAAGTTTTACTGGTGATGTATAAAAACATTCAAAATAAGCCAAAATTTTATTGAACTTTTTGGGTCCCACTATACTGTTTGTGACATCGATCGTGGCAATCGACGTAATTAACACATCATTGTCCAGGCTAGATATGCAAATGAGAAATTTGCAGACAGTCAATTGTGGTTATATCATTCCAAATCATAGTCATTAAATAATAAAAAAGGTTGTGCTAAATTGCCAGTGAATTAGAATAATACCTACCAGATCAGATACAAATACTCCCAAAGTGGGGCTCTGTTTCCAGTCGAAGTTCTCTCCTACAGCTACAACGATGGTGGATTTCTTCATGGTGTTGACAACATACTTGAACATGTCACAACAGACCTCATTGGCAGCATAGTTGTTGGAGATAAACACAAGAAACACTGATGCATGTACAATTTTTTTAGCCATTTCTTCACGAGAGATGAGTTCTTTACCCTCAGGAAAGTAACTGTAAACACACAGAAAAAGACTGAAGATATCTTATTGTACCGTGTAAGAATGATTAAATACTGTAAATCACCAGAAATAAGGATAAGATTAGTAATAGGAATCAGTTCCAGTTTCATAACTGATAATTAAGTAAAATTAATCAAGTCATTTACAGATTATAATCAGTGCCATGCATTCATTGCTACATAGAAGTCTGTTTCTTGCATTAAAAATCTTGTAAATATTTTCAATTAATGTTTATTTAGCTTTGAATCTGTTTTACCTCTTGGATAGTGTTGATAAAACTGTAAGTTGTGAATTACTTCTAAATGAATAACTTTAAATTAAAGAATTACACTTGATCTCAGCATTTTTTTTCCTAATCTCCTCAATAGTTACTTCACAAAGAAATTCAAATTAAGGTATGAGATTAATGCATGAGTTTGAAATAATCACCAGGTGTATCCCTCATTTTCCAGGTCAGCATAGACAGTGGCTGGATGTATGACTTTAGATCTATCTCCTGGTGCGTCTTTGATGCAGTAGGAGATGAAAATATCTGGACAAATATAAATATATATATGATATGTACAAGTTTATATAATGCTATGATATCATATATGAGAGTTTTACAAGATGTAATAATGGTAGGTATATGGCTAACTCTGAATAAAAGTTCTAACAGAATATGTCTCCTGGTACAGTGAAATCACACTGAAATGAATTTAAGTTCAAGCTATCCACCACACTGGGTACCAAAAGCTAGGAGACAAAGTCTACACAAGCTCTAGCTAGTACCACACTGGGTATCATAAGCTAGGAGACAAAGTCTATACAAGCTCTAGCTAGCTACCACACTGGGTATCAAAATCTAGGAGACAAAGTCTATACAAGCTCTAGCTAGCTACAACACTGAGTGTCAAAAGCTAGGAGACAAAGTCTATACAAGCTCTAGCTAGCTACCACACTGGGTATCAAAAGCTAGGAGACAAAGTCTATACAAGCTCTAGCTAGCTACCACACTGGGTATCAAAAGCTAAGAGACAAAGTCTACACAAGCCCTAGCTAGCTACTACAAAGTCTATACAAGCTCTAGCTAGCTACCACACTGGGTATCAAAAGCTAGGAGACAAAGTCTATACAAACTCTAGCTAGTACCACACTGGGTATTAAAAGCTAGGAGCCAAGTCTACACAAGCTCTAGCTAGCTACCACACTGGGTATCAAAAGCTAGGAGACAAAGTCTATACAAGCTCCAGCTAGTACCACACTGGGTATTAAAAGCTAGGAGACAAAGTCTATACAAGCTCTAGCTAGCTACCACACTGGGTATCAAAAGCTAGGAAACAAAGTCTATACAAACTCTAGCTAGATACCACACCAGGTATCAAAAGCTAGGAGCCAACTCTACACAAGCTCTAGCTAGCTACTACAAAGTCTATACAAGCTCTAGCTAGCTACCACACTGGGTATCAAAAGCTAGAAGACAAAGTCTATACAAGCTCTAGCTAGCTACCACACTGGGTATCAAAAGCTAAGAGACAAAGTCTACACAAGCCCTAGCTAGCTACTACAAAGTCTATACAAGCTCTAGCTAGCTACCACACTGGGTATCAAAAGCTAGGAGACAAAGTCTATACAAACTCTAGCTAGTACCACACTGGGTATTAAAAGCTAGGAGCCAAGTCTACACAAGCTCTAGCTAGCTACCGCACTGGGTATCAAAAGCTAGGAGACAAAGTCTATACAAGCTCTAGCTAGTACCACACTGGGTATTAAAAGCTAGGAGACAAAGTCTATACAAGCTCTAGCTAGCTACCACACTGGGTATTAAAAGCTAGGAGACAAAGTCTATACAAGCTCTAGCTAGCTACCACACTGGGTATCAAAAGCTAGGAAACAAAGTCTATACAAACTCTAGCTAGATACCACACCAGGTATCAAAGCTAGGAGGCAAAGTATATAAAGCTCTAGCAAGCTAACAAAATGGGTATGAATGCCATGAGACCCAAGTTAGGCTCTAGGTGCTGCGGTTTGTCAACTCACTAGGTAAGGAATGCTTTGAAACACCAGTTAAATTGTGGCTCATATTACACTGGGTATGAAATGCTGTGAACCTCTTTAGCCTCCATGACAGATCCTGTAACCAAGATTTAATTATTTCTACTCACTGACTGACATCTCGTTTTGTATCTGCTGCAAATTGTTGACATCCTGATCCAGATGAACTTCGAAGTCACTGTTAGTGTCAGGAGCCATAATGCCCTGAAGGTTGAGAATGGGGGCAGTGTGGAAATACTTCTGACATTGTAGGAATGGTGCCTTCAGTTCCAGGGCACGGCGGACACCAGATGCCCTGAACATATGGGGATCTTTTACATACTGCAAATATATCATAGAAAACTAGATTCATTTTTTTGTAATTTAGGAAACTAGTACAGGTAACAATAAGCCAAACTGAAATACTTCCTGAAATGCTGGCACGGAATTCACAATCTATTATAATGTACACATATTTTAGACAAAACATTTTCTCTCAATTTTATCTTGAATTTCTCATTGAAGGATAAAACATTGTATCCTACATTTAAATTGATTCTAAATTCTAAATTTGCAATCAAAGATGCTGACACAATGATTGATGAAGACATTGACCTTGACTGAATTATGAACTTGTAGAACCTTAATTATATACAAATAATAACTGATAAAAATGCATCTTTCACCTGTTTTGTACAATCTGGACATGGTATCTCATAATCGTAAGCAACACCATGGAAGGACTCATTAATTAGACCTTCAAACACCTCATGAATAAAGAACAGCAGATTTTCCGGCTTCATCCCTTGGACCCTAACATTTAGCTCCGAGTCCCTAAAGAAAACAAGGGTAAACTTTTAGTTACCAATCAAGCATGCGGGGAGAGTTTATTGTATTCTGTAACTGTGATAACAGATTGCAGCTACTACATTTATTGTATAATAAGCCCATGTTTGGTAATAAGCCCATCCCAAATCTAAAGCTGTTCAGTTGCACTACCGTTAATTACGATTTTAATGCTCTGTAATAAGCCCAATTTAATTATAGTTAATGTGTTGTCCTCTTGGATTACTGAAGAATATGTATGATATCTGACAGCTGAATGTTACATGTATTTCCTTTTAAAAACATTACAAAATCAGTCCACTTTTATTAACAATGAAATACACAAAACTCAAGAGATTCTTACAGATTAGTCAGTTAACAAATATTATCTAATTCTACAATCAATCATTTTTGTATGTCAACGATAACACTTGAAGTCTTACTTAATCTGTTGTATCAATGCTATCTGGCCATTTTTCTGCAAAAATGATCCTCTCTTCCAGATCATGGAGTCATCTGAGTACCCATGCAGTCTTACCTGTGTGTAAACAATACAATTTTTAAAAAAAAAATCCTCTAAATGCTTCTCTGCAGTAATTAAAATTCTGGGATTGACTTATACCTATGTACCAAGTCCATTTGAAAACAAACAACATTTTGGCAACTCAGTGTCCACTTTAATGTTTACACATTCCACCACCATTTATGACTTTGCATGAAGATGCCATAAACAAATTTTTAGAAATATATCATCGGAAAAACTTGTTTGTTTTTCAGAATTTCAAAATACTACTAATTAAATGAAAGACCAATTCAAAACATGTTTTTAACAAGAGGCCCATGGGCCTAAACGGTCATATGACTACAAAAGCTTTCAGCAGGGAGAAGGGCTATTTTTTCTACTTTGAATGAAATCTTGTGTCTTCCATAATGTAGATGGTAGTTTTAGTGAGGAGTAGGTAACTGTAACAAGTGTTTTCTATTATTTGACAGTAAATTTGGAGTTCAAACTGGTGAAACTTGAGAAGTTTGAAATAGGTGTTGCACAGTAAAACCATGATTGTGCAATCATGTTACAAAATGGCCTCTGTGGCTGCTGTATCAATATTTTGACAAGGTCGAAAAATAACAACACTTTGTTGGCTAACTTTCTTTAACATTCCCACCAATTTTCAGCTCAATGGCACGTGTGGAACTGGAGGAGAAATTTAAAATATGTTTCTCAAGATGGTGGCCATAGTGGCCATCTTGGATTTCAGACATAGACGAAAAATAACAACACTTAGTCAGGACCATCTCAGGATCATTTCATGCAAGTTTAAACTCAATCCCATTGGTGGAACTTGAGAAGAGGTTTGAAATGTCAAAAGTTTATGCATGACACATGGCAGATGATGATGGACGAAGCGCAATGAAGGGTCAGGTGATTTAAAAATTCAGTTTATCAGAGCCAGTCCTCTAATTGCATTTTTTGAGATTGAAATTTTGAAAGTGAGTAATCTCTTCCAGAACATTCATTAAACCTTGAAAGAAAGGATCTTATATCCGAACACAAAAGACTGAATGCATATCTCCATATGCATGTTAAATCACCCCTAGCATGTATATGTATAAGGGACAGAAACATTATTTGCTGTCAAAACAGGAAATAAAAGTATACATACATATACACTGTCTAAAACTTTCAACATCAATTAAGGATAAATTCTACATACATAAATTGCACTTCATGAAAGCTGACACATACATGTACTTGTATAATAATGTTTTCTGAATGTGATAATCTTCGAAGATTTGCCCACAAGGGCACCTTGCAATTACAATTATATACTGACTAAAGCTAAATACAGAAAATACTTTAATTTTTATACTTACATCACTATCATGTTTTGGGGAAAAATTAATGAGACACCTGCCTATATTGATCAATAAAATTATACAACAGAATCACAGTTGCATTATGAAATAGTCAGCATGGTGACATCACAAAAGAGCATGCCCAGTTACCGTTCTAGTCCCATCATGACACTCGTCTTTTGTACTGCTGTAATGGGAAGCCACAGGCAAATAGAAATATTCTTATATGAATTTGATTTTAATGCAGTGATATTTTCAGTAATTGTGAACACTTATAACTATATAATTGTTGTTCTCGTGTTGTAAGTTACCTGTCCCCTGTTGAACAAGCCAGCTGGGAGATAGTCAAATTTGTAGACCATTACTGTTTCATAAACACCACCTTCTTTGTTCATCTCTGGCCATTTAATCTATAAATAAAATATATCAAAAGTCTGATGATGAAACTGTTTCATGATTTACCTGCTTAGTATTATACAAAATCGGTATCCTGTGATAAGCCCAGGGGACTTAAATCTCTGGATAGCTTAAAATTAGGAGATTGGCTCAACACAATGGCATTTACTGGAATTTCTATGGAAACTTGAGTATATATTGGTGGGCATATAACCAGAATGGTCCTACTGCCTTATTTATACAGTAATATAAGATCCATTATGATTACATCTTACAGCAATGATCAAAGGCAATGTGGTTAGGATACGAATCTTGTTTTTCCTCTTACCTCTGGACGCTTCTCTGGAAGAAGACATGGTACAATGTTACATTTTTCCCCCTCTAACTGGAACGTCAAGTCAAACTGTTCAGTCAGTTTCAGAAGCCAGTCACACATCTTTGGATATTCTTTCCAGACTGTTCCAATATCAGAATGCTTCAGATGACCATCCTGAAAGTATGAAAGTTTACTGAAATAGAGTCTTGTTAACACAAAGTAACTTACATGAGCTCCAAAATGTGCAGCCCTCCATATACTGAATACATGTCAAAAGTGGCCTTAGTGACCTTTGACCTTTAACCTTGACTGATAATCATCAAAATCTAATCAGAATTTGATGTAGTGAATATGAATTAAATCTGTTAAGGGGTTTATAAGATATGTTGTATGTAAGCTGTTTATTTCAAAAGTGGTCAAGGGTGACCCTTGACCTTTAATCTTTAACAGTACCAATATCCAATCAAGAGCAGAACCTGATGGTGTGATGCTATGATGTTAATTTGAACTAAATTTGTCAAAGAGTTCACAAGATTTTTGTACAAATTCTTATTTTTTCAAAAAGTGGCAAAAGGTGACCTTTGACCTTTAACCTTAACCAATTCCTATACATGTGTAGAGCTTGATGTTGTGGCGCTATAGTGTCTGTTGCAATATGACCAAGTGGATACATACTTGTATTATCCATAGAAATACATCAAAACAGTAAAAGTTCTATTTACAGGTTTACATTCCAAATTTATCTAATACAACACCTAAATACAAAATGAGGGGCTCACATAGCTACACCCTCAAATCCCTAACTTTTTATTCTTAAATAAATATTTTGAGTGAATCATGAGATATTTTGTGCACAAGCTTTTTATGTCAAAAGTGGACAGTGGTGACCTTTAACCTTGACAAATTACCACCAAAACTGAATCAGGCATAGAACTTACTGTTGTGATGCTATGGTGTGACTCTGAACTAAATCTGTTTAAACGTTTATGAAATATCTTAAACATAAACTTTGCATAGATGGACAAAGTGATTCTTATATAACTCCTTTTAACTATAGTAGATGTACAACCAAGCATTTATCATCAGAAAACCTGTATGTTCTGAAGGCCTAGCCACACAATACCATAAAGACAGGTTGATCATTACCTGGATGGATGACTGTTTAACAGACACTACACAGGCCATCACATCTACAATCCACTGAGGGTTGATCACCACATGCTTGTGTAGGTACTCATTCTGGAAGTGTTGTACAGATCCAAGATCATGTAGGAACTGGATTGCTTGAGCCACCTAACAAACATCATTTTAAAATTGCATCAATATACTGATATCAATGATAAATCAAAAATGATGCAATAATCAAGCAATCATTGTGTGAAACATACATCTTTGATCAATTTGGAAATGTTGTAAAATGTGACCCATGACTCTCTAACATTAATTTACTCAAATGACAACCTTAATACTTCATATGATAAGCAAAATAAATAAATACATGATTCTCAGGTCAGTTTTTTTCCAAAAAGAGACAAGACAGGAAAGGTTTTTTTTTTTACCATTTTATTGTCAAAAAGACAAAATAGGGATTTTTTAAAATTTGATTTTTCAGACCAAACTTTATCCATTTTCATAGAGACTTGTTAAACATGTGGGAATTAGTTATTAGTTATAGGTCTTTGTCTTTTACATTAATGATCCTATGGTTCTGGTTTTACAGTTAAATGTGTAACAGATATTTCAGGTGCTGCTTTTCTCCACACATTCTTTTTCCAAAAACGATGAAAGAGATTCTTTTTTATTCAACCAAGAATAACATATGTAACACTGGGCTTTTCTTGGCTTCAAAGTAGATTAGAACTGATATGAAAACCAAGTAATTAATTATTTTTGCCTAAGGTCTGTAACAGTAGAAGCTGATGTTATGATACCATGGGGTACATATGAACCAAATCTGTTGAGATGGTCTAGAAATATGACATTGTTTCAGAATGGCACAGGATGAGTGGTAACACTATGCTCTCCCTTTAAAAAGGTAGGGGCATAAAATGAGTCAGTTAAGAACTGCCATCTTGTCACATCGCTATGGGATGACCCAGTATCTATACTCTAAGGCAACAAATTAACCTTCTGGTTTTTCTAAAGTATCCAAACTTTCCATTAACAAAATCAAGTTGTTATCACTTTGTCAAATGTCAATGATAGCCTGGTATTAAACTACACTTACCTTCGAACTTTTTCATGATAATAATTTCAACTCATGTTTATGTAGAATGAGCAGAAATAAGATACAATACAAAAAGACTATAGAAATGTTTTTGCTAAATTTCTCAGAATTAGGTTTATAGAAAAATGTAGGAAGTACCTCAACAGCATCCACTATTCCAGCCTCTGTGGCCAAATTCTCTACATTGTGGTATGGCAGCACATCACTCCTATTTGAGATTTTCTCACTGTAAACATACAAGCAATATGATTGAGTTGATCTGTTGTTGTCAAGCAAATTGCACTCTAACATTGGGTCAGTAAATGATAAAATGTTTGACATTTGATTGCATATGAAAATATACTTAAAGTGTATCACTCAGTGAAATCACAGTCATTAACTCAAAATAAAACAGGAAAACAGGCTATAAATCTTTCTAACTCAAAACTTACTTTGCAATGATAGATTCAAAATGAAGCCATGCCTGAGGAATTTTCTCTCCCATGTACTCTTGCTGTAATGTTACTTTGTACAATGCCTCTTTCAGGTCGGGAATACCCTGTAGATATAAATATCACAGCTATATAACACCGAACAACACCTTCAAATCAGGGATACCCTGGAGATATAAATATCACAGCTATATAACACCGAACAACACCTTCAAATCAGGGATACCCTGTAGATATAAATATCACAGCTATATAACACCGAACAACACCTTCAAATCAGGAATACCCTGGAGATATAATGATCTAATTAGGTCAAGCACATCCTGAGGTATAAATAGCATAGTTCTACAACACAGAGATTATTAGATCTACCACTTACGTTTCCATTCTTTGAACTAACGAAGTGGAATCCCTCTATTTGGTGATAGGTTTGGTTCATTTCGTCCATAGGTAACTCCACTTTGGTCATCTACAAACAACAGCAAATCTCGTTTTTATAGAAACAATATGACATTTGCATTACACAATACAATAAGTATGCCATGGTCATATAAATGGGGGCCTTAGACATGTAGAGATTTTGATGGTCAGAGTGGGGTGTCCACTACAAAGATGGAAGTATGTACTGTGATGGTCAGAGTGGGGTGTCCACCACAAAGATGGAAGCATGTACTGTGATGGTCAGAGTGGGGTGTCCACCACAAAGATGGAAGTATGTACTGTGATGGTCAGAGTGGGGTGTCCACCACAAAGATGGAAGTATGTACTGTGATGGTCAGAGTGGGGTGTCCACCACAAAGATGGAAGCATGTATTGTGATGGTCAGTGTTGGGTGCCTTAGGAGTATATACTATGACAGTCAGTGTCTATGACTCACCTGGTCAGTGTGGGTGCCCACAACAAAGATGGGGCCTTAGGAGTATATACTATGACAGTCAGTGTCTATGACTCACCTGGTCAGTGTGGGTGCCCACAACAAAGATGGGGGCCTTAGGAGCATGTACTGTGATTGAGTTGAGCCAGAAGTTCAAACCAGCATGTTCATGTCCAAGTCGTATATTCCACAGCAGCAGGTACACAGCGCGGTCAGAAAGGAAAAACTGAAAATAAATGATGAATAAATGATGTGTTACATGACAACTTTTATCTGACATGTGCTGTATTTGCCTATGAGAGTACTCTTAATTTGATTCATTGACAGCCATTTTCTCATGTGTGCATTATTGCACTGTAAGATTCCCTCTGCCTAAAGTTAACAATCTTTACCTAACTTGTATTGTATTACCCTGTGAGATGTCCCCTTTGTTTGAACACAGGCAGCTATTACCTGATTTGTATTAGATTACTCTATGAGATGTCCCCCAGGTTTTATCCATGACGGCCATTACCAGATGTGTGCTGTATTACCTGATGGGTATAACATATTACCCTTTGAGATGTCCCCTAAGTTTTATCCTTGACAGCCATTACCAGATGTGTGCTGTATTACCTGATGGGTGTAACATATTACACTATGTGATGTTCCCTAAGTTTTTTCCCTTGGTAACCATTACCTGATGTGTGTTGTATTACCCTATGAGATGTCCCCCAGGTTTTATCCATGACGGCCATTACCTGATGTGTGTTGTAGTACACGGTCTGACCAGCGAAGTCCCACACACTGTAGGATATTGTCTCTCCCTTGTAATCCACATCCCAAGTACAGATGTCAATTCCTGTATCAAAATATAGTCAAGTCAAAGTCAAATCTGAATCATCTCTCAATTATAATTTAAGGCGACAAATTTTCAGATTTTTTCACAGAGAAATCATACAGACCATCAGTAATAGCATCTGCTCCAGTCAGATTGGACTCCTCTTGCAGACTGGACATCAGAGCTTTCACTAAACTGAAAAGATAAAGGTAAAAGACTATGTTTCAATGTAGGTGCAACTGAATAAACAAGTAGAAAGCTTTCCTACTACATAATGACTGTGTCAGAACAATCAGATTTATAGAAAAAGCAATATATTTTGGTGAAAATCACCTCCTGTTCCAGGCATATGCTTTTGCCAACTCCCTCATTCTGTCTCTTTAGGAATACAAAAACCAACCTGTTCACGACTGACTAAAATAGTACCACCAATGTATTCCTCTTAATTACCTGGTTTTACCAGCTCCACCAAGTCCCACCAACATCAGTTTGGTTCGTTTACAGTCCACAGATCCTGTCAGCAGACGTTTGAGGTAGGCATATGTTGTAGTAAATCCTCGTTCTCTGATCTCTTTTGGAGGGGTTTTCAGCAAGGGGCAGTCATCCAAAGTTAACCCTGATATAACAAAAAATGCTCATAGTAATTAACCTTTACTTAAGTTCACTTTTTTACAAATCCTTGAGAATCAACTTTTAGGCCAAATTTATCTTATCACATACAGCCGCCTCAATCAATACACTTCTTGACATTTGTCTTCCTATCCCTGTACTCACAACTGTTCCTTCCCAAGTACTTTATCATTGCTGCTGGCCTTGCTTTCCTGGTGACCTACATTTCTGCATTACCTTTCCTCCCAGACAATCTACTTTTCCCAGTGTCTTTCTTCTCTGAGTTGTCTCACTTCTCTGATGACCTGCCATTATTAGCATGTAAAATTCCTAATAACCTCTCCATACTTAATTACCTCCCTTTATCAGAGCTTTCTTTTTCTCTCCTACCATGGCTAACTTGCTTTTCAACTGGTCACCTCTCTTTTCCAGTATCACCATTTTCTTATGATTTGCCTTCCGCAGTTACCTCCCTTCCCTGATTATCCAATTAGCTTGATATCTCTATTTCCAACTCTCCCTCTCCTAGTGACCTCTGTTTCTGATGTAGCTCTTTTCCCATTAACATTGCTTTTCTGCACAGGTTTTTGAGGCACCTCAGTCACCAGTTGGCAAATTATTTTAAGAATAATCTGAATGAGGCAACAGGTCAAACAGGTCATTAAGCAGCTGGATTGTCCGTGAACAATATTGACTTTATCTCAATCACCTGCCCATTCTGTTCTTCTGTATGTTTCTATTTTTTTTAAATCCACACAACCTCTACATATAGGATATGCTAGCCAACACATTGTTTACCAACAAGCAGTACGTATTTATGTCAGGATGGTCTACAGCCTTGCAACTTATAAATGTGTTAGAAGAATGGACGGAAGCCCTTGACAATGCCCTAGATGTGGAATGTATATACTTAGACTTTAGTAAGGCTTTTGTCATGGTCCCTTATCTCAGGCTAATAAAAAAATTAAAATCATATGGGATAAATGGCGTGGTTCATACTTGGTTGAAAGACTTTCTGTACAACAGACAACAAAGAGTAATAGTCAACAGAGCAACTTCTGAATGGGGAAAAGTGACATCTGGAATACTTCAGGGGTCAGTGCTTGGGCCACTCTTGTTCGTCATTTACATAAATGACTTGCCAGAGAAGGTGGACTCAACTGTATACTTATTTGCAGATGACATAAAAATGTTCCAAGTTATTAAGTCTGAAGGAAATAGGAAATCTTTACAGGAAGACCTGTTCAGACTTTCTGAATGGAGCAAGGCTTGACTGCTATCATCTAATGAAGATAAGTGTAAGTTTATGCACATTGGAAAGCATAAAAACAGAAAACGCCACTTATGTACTGAACAACACAACCCTTGGAGAAGTTGAAGAAGAGAAAGATCTTGGGGTAATTTTTGACAAAGAACTTACCTTTGACAACCATATCAGTGAAAAGATACAGAAGGCAACATCAATATTTGGCATGATCAGAAGAACATTCAAGTTTCTTAATTCTGTGTTATTTATTCCACTCTACAAATAACTTGTAAGAACACACTTAGAACATGCCAGTGCTGTTTGGAAACCCTACAAATGAAACATATTGGAAGGTGTCCAAAGGAGGGCAACAAAACAACTACCTGGAATGGGAAATCTGTCGTATCTGGAAAGATTAAAGATGATGAAACTGCCAACCCTAACCTACAGGCGTTTTCGAGGTAATATGATAGAGATGTACAAGGCAGTTGGAGGAAAATATGATAAGGGGGAAACACGGTTTATAAGGATGTGGTCTGATACCTCTGGGAGATCCAGCACAAAAACTAACTCACTGAAAATATACCCAAAACATGCCAGAACATCATTACGGAAAAGCTCCTTCTCCAATAGAGCAACAGTTGTATGGAACAGTTTCCCTTACCTCATTGTAACTACCAATACACTAAACAGTTTCAAAAACAAACTGGATGAATACTGGAATGGGCAGGAAATTAAGTACGACGACTACAAAGGAACAGTACGTATAACTACCGGAAGTGACATTTATAATAACAATAACAATTCTTATGAGACCAGCGAAGAGGATCCTTAACCTGTGCTGGAAAATATCATTAACCATCATTAAATATACACATTTTACACGTTGCCGTTCTCTATCCTAATGAATCCATTTTCACATACTCATCGTAACATTGCTTTACAAACAATGACATAACCCTGTTCAGTGTACTTACGTTTTAGAGGACAGCGTCCAGCCTCAGCAGCTATAGATAGCAGGTTTGGGTTGAAGGCCAGGGTCATATTGTCCAGCTTTTCTAAATTCTGAATACCTGCTGGTACATGGACAATGCCTTGGTACTGAAGATTGAGGTAGGTCAGATTCTTAAGTGTTAGAATCTCCTCTGGAAATCCACTTGGAGTATTGTCATCTGTAAAAACATTTACAAAATATCCGATGAAAATATGAAATATTTATGGCATTCACTTCAAATGAAATCTAATAAATCACAGTTTCCTTTAATTACCTGGAGGGTCTATGCCTTTGTATCCAAACCTTGGAAAGATGGAGAAGAGACTGGCATTTAACCTAGCTATCTCTTTAGTATCTAGTGTTCCACTACTGTCGAAATCAAACAACTGGAACATGTCATCGTGATTCAGCTTCTGAAAAACAAAGCAGAGTAACAAAATAAATCCCAGATCTCTTATTGTTGGTAGGCTTGATTTTGTTTGTTTTACTGCTCAATGAACAGCCAGGGTCATTTTGAGGTTGGATCTTCTTGTAGTAGTTAGTTGATAGATGTACCTCTCTGAACATCATGCAGAAGGCCCATTGCATGTGATCTAGAGCAAACAGTGTAAAGTGTAACACCCAAACTCATAACCACAAGAGAATAGGGCAGTTGATAATCTCAGTTTTTTTAAGCTAATTGAATTAAGTTAAGGTGATTACTGTAGATTTGATTATGTATTGGACCCAATTTCACTTAAATGAAATAAGTATCTCCGGTAATATCCACACATACATGGGAAAGTAAAATGAAAGAAAAATAACTTTGACAAGAGAACACTCAGTATGACATTGTTGATTCAGTTTTCTCAGATGATACTTGTCGGGGACTATTTTGGTATAAATAGTTCATCAACTGAATTTCAGTATCACGATCCTGTTGCAATGTTAAAACTATTATCGTAACTGCTAATGCTGCAAAACAAGTAATTTAAAATTACATAGTATTTTTGTTGTAGTACAATTTTTTTTTACACAAATAAATGTACGAAAAATTTGACTAACTTGAAGTAAATTGTCAAATGTAATAGTTTGTTATCTTTTTGTAAATTATCATACATCTTATATCAATGGAAAGAAAAAACGTTTGCTAAACATGTCTGCGCAACGTTAATGTTCCCACTGGTGACCAAGGAGAAGTTTTAAACTTTTTAGTGTTTCTCACAACAATACCCATGAAATAAAAAGCAAAGCTCTGTCTGAAGACAGAAATCCCACTGGAGTTAGGCAAGGCTCTCCAACTTCGATCTTCCCATTTATGAGAAAATTTTAATTGAACTTCTTAAAGGTAAATGGCTGTAACTCTCGAATCAGCCACAACCAAATCCAAACTCTTCCTTATAAAACTATACCTACCATATAACAGTTCTTTATTTCTATCAGTTAAAGAATAATTGATTGAAATGTAATTGTGTTTAAAGAGGGAATGACAGAATGTCTGCCAGGGTAACACTACATGGCCTGCACTATGAAATGACAAGGACATAAGAATGAAGCAACAAGAGGCCCATAGGGCCTGTAGCACTCACCAGGCTTTGTTTGGCTGAAATTGCTTTACCCAAAGGTTTATATCTATCTCCCTAATGGGCCCTACACCTCTGTCCCCAGCAGATCAGCCAAGCCATCTCTACAAAAATCTCCTTCCCCCAAGCATGCTTCTTACCAAACTGGATAGCATTTTGCCATTCCTACAGAAGAAGGACTTTAAAGAATTTGTTCTATTTCCTCATTCGGGCCCGAACCCTTCCATCCCAGCCCGATCATTTACATGAAATTGTTTTCCCTTCATCCACGGATGCTCCAGACCAAATCGAGACACAATCCAGGCATTCCTACAGAGAAAGGAGGATTTTCAAGGACTTGCTAAATTTCTCTTTTTGGACCGAATCTCTAAGGCTCCAAGGGGATCAGACCCACCATTTATATGAAGTTGGGTCTTTCCCATGTGAGCTAAAAGTAGTAAGATAAATGTTTTGGATTAATGTTTTTAGGGTACCACTAACCTCAGACTCGGGTAATGCTGCAAGTAGCCGTTGGATTCCTCTTCCTTCTAAAAACTTCTCAAAGTATGACTTTGAATGGTATTGGTTAGACTTGTTTTTCATCCACATCACGCCTGGCAGTGAAAGTTCTTTCAGTTTTTGGAGCTTCGCAAAACTCTTTGGGAGCTTTGTCAAGCAGTTTCCATTCATGTACAAGACATTAAGGTTTGGCATGTCACCAATATTTTCAGGTAAACTCGTCAAAAACAGGTCATTGGCTACCAGTCTTTTCAGCTCAGGTAACTTTATAAGAACAGGTGGTAAGACATCCATTCTATTCTGACTGATGTCTATCCGACACAAATGTTTACAGTTGCTCAATGAAGTCGGTAGGTCTAGCAGGTTATTTTCTGCCAAGTCCAAATAGTGTAAATTACAACACTGCCCTAAAGTTTCCGGCAGGACATCCAAAAAATTTTCACTCACATCCAATTTCAAGAGATGAGGGAGATTCAAAAACGCTTCAGGTGTGATTGAAGTCAAATGATTGTTGGGTAATTTAATGGAGGTTATGAAGTTGGAATATCCTTTAAAGATATACTCTGGAATCTCGGAGAGTTCCACTCCGATCTGCCAACTAGCTGCGTGTCCAGGGCAGATATACAACATGCGACCGGGCATCAAAGAACTCTCTGTTGGAAGAAGTCCAGTATTGTCCAAGGCATTCTCAACGGAAAGTTGAAGTTCCTAAAAGGGACACAAAAAATCAAATCAGACAAAGTTTTTACACTGTTTTCAAATCTTGGATGTGCTTTCCACCTATTTTTTCAATTAAACATTGCAGATATCCCTAATTCCATTACTTATTTTTTATTGTTATCTGATAAGTGTATTTATGAAAATGTTCAATGAAATTGTGTTTTATCTCTAAGCACCAAACATTCGGTATGAGCACCAATTACAGTAAGAGAGGTGATGCTCTGCAATTTATTTTTATTCAGTAACAATACTGATTAAACATTAAAGAATGATCACAGAGACCTGTCATTCTCCTTGTACTGGACACATGATACATGATCTTACATGGAATAGTATACTAGGAGATCAGGCCCCACTTGTATAAAACATCTCAACTTGAGATTTCCTCTAGTCGAGATTTTCCTCAGCTAATATCCTCGCTGATGCCTTCCTCCTGTTCCTTGAGAAAATTTTATACAAGCCGTTTTTGAGGAGATATCAGCAGAGGAAATTTTCGACTTGAGGAAATCTCAAGTTGAGATGTTTTATACAAGTGGGGCCTGGTCTGGATAACACACACATGTACTTAACACAATTATAGAGATGAGAAGTGTGTAGCAGTTATTTATTTATCATTGTCACTTACCAGAGAACTTTCTTCTAAAGTACTTCTCTTACTGAATGTTGACAAACCAAATGTTTTTTCTTCAAAATTTGACATCATGTTGATTGCAGCTATTCGAAGTATTTCTTGTATTCCTTTTCCAATCTAAACAACAACAAAAAAAATGAAAGAAAAAAACGGTCAAAAATTACTGTTCTGAACAGTTCATAGTAACAATAGATCAAAGGGCCTTAATTAATGGCTTGCTGGTTTCTTTAAATACTGTCTATGTTCGTGTGAAATATGCCATAGAAATAATACATGTTGACAAAGAAGTAAAATAAACTACAAATGCAAAGGTAAACTGTGTAACATTAACTGCCAAAAAACTTATTTTTTATGAAAAAGAAATTACACTGAAAAATTCAGTTTTTCCAATAACAAGTATAGCAAACTTTAACCCCTCCCTGGGGGAGATGTAAGGCCCTGAGGTCATTAAATTCTTAATTTTGGTAAAGCAACTTAAGACCCTTCCATCCATAATTTCATTCTACCATATTTTGGTGTTAAAGAAAATATTTTTGAAATTTGAGTCAATTTGCTGCTTTTATTCCTGCCCCCTTGGCCCTTGTGGGAGGGTGGACCTTATGATTCACAATTTTTAGTTCACACTTGCGCATAGAAGGTTTATGGAATTGAAAATGGCTTGCCAGGTTTCTAGAAGAAGTTGAAAATGTCAATTGTTTACAATGCAGAATGGCGGACAAAGGGTTAGTGCAACAGGTGTCATCTCTTCGTCTCAGGTGACATAAAAACATATACAAATTTCTATTGTCTCAGCTAACAAAAACAAATTTCTATTGTCTCAGCTAACAAAAACAAATTTCTATTGTCTCAGCTAACCTAAAAACAAATTTCTATTGTCTCAGCTAACAAAAACAAATTTCTATTGTCTCAGCTAACCTAAAAACAAATTTCTATTGTCTCAGCTAACCTAAAAACAAATTTCTATTGTCTCAGCTAACAAAAACAAATTTCTATTGTCTCAGCTAACCTAAAAACAAATTTCTATTGTCTCAGCTAACCTAAAAACAAATTTCTATTGTCTCAGCTAACCTAAAAACACATTTCTATTGTCTCAGCTAACCTAAAAACAAATTTCTATTGTCTCAGCTAACAAAAACAAATTTCTATTGTCTCGGCTAACCTAAAAACAAATTTCTATTGTCTCGGCTAGCCTAAAAACACATTTCTATTGTCTCGGCTAACCTAAAAACACATTTCTATTGTCTCGGCTAACCTAAAAACACATTTCTATTGTCTCAGCTAACCTAAAAACAAATTTCTATTGTCTCAGCTAACCTAAAAACAAATTTCTATTGTCTCAGCTAACAAAAACAAATTTCTATTGTCTCAGCTAACCTAAAAACAAATTTCTATTGTCTCAGCTAACCTAAAAACAAATTTCTATTGTCTCAGCTAACCTAAAAACACATTTCTATTGTCTCAGCTAACCTAAAAACAAATTTCTATTGTCTCAGCTAACCTAAAAACAAATTTCTATTGTCTCAGCTAACAAAAACAAATTTCTATTGTCTCAGCTAACCTAAAAACAAATTTCTATTGTCTCAGCTAACCTAAAAACAAATTTCTATTGTCTCAGCTAACCTAAAAACACATTTCTATTGTCTCAGCTAACCTAAAAACACATTTCTATTGTCTCAGCTAACCTAAAAACAAATTTTTCTATTGTCTCAGCTAACAAAAACAAATTTCTATTGTCTCAGCTAACCTAAAAACACATTTCTATTGTCTCGGCTAGCCTAAAAACAAATTTCTATTGTCTCGGCTAACCTAAAAACACATTTCTATTGTCTCGGCTAACCTAAAAACACATTTCTATTGTCTCAGCTAACCTAAAAACAAATTTCTATTGTCTCAGCTAACCTAAAAACACATTTCTATTGTCTCAGCTAACCTAAAAACACATTTCTATTGTCTCAGCTAACCTAAAAACAAATTTCTATTGTCTCAGCTAACAAAAACAAATTTCTATTGTCTCAGCTAACAAAAACAAATTTCTATTGTCTCAGCTAACCTAAAAACAAATTTCTATTGTCTCAGCTAACAAAAACACATTTCTATTGTCTCAGCTAACCTAAAAACAAATTTCTATTGTCTCAGCTAACAAAAACAAATTTCTATTGTCTCAGCTAACAAAAACAAATTTCTATTGTCTCAGCTAACCTAAAAACAAATTTCTATTGTCTCAGCTAACAAAAACAAATTTCTATTGTCTCAGCTAACAAAAACAAATTTCTATTGTCTCAGCTAACCTAAAAACAAATTTCTATTGTCTCAGCTAACAAAAACAAATTTCTATTGTCTCAGCTAACAAAAACAAATTTCTATTGTCTCAGCTAACAAAAACAAATTTCTATTGTCTCAGCTAACCTAAAAACAAATTTCTATTGTCTCAGCTAACAAAAACAAATTTCTATTGTCTCAGCTAACAAAAACAAATTTCTATTGTCTCAGCTAACCTAAAAACACATTTCTATTGTCTCAGCTAACCTAAAAACAAATTTCTATTGTCTCAGCTAACCTAAAAACACATTTCTATTGTCTCAGCTAACCTAAAAACACATTTCTATTGTCTCAGCTAACCTAAAAACAAATTTCTATTGTCTCAGCTAACAAAAACAAATTTCTATTGTCTCAGCTAACCTAAAAACACATTTCTATTGTCTCAGCTAACCTAAAAACACATTTCTATTGTCTCAGCTAACCTAAAAACAAATTTCTATTGTCTCAGCTAACAAAAACAAATTTCTATTGTCTCAGCTAACCTAAAAACACATTTCTATTGTCTCAGCTAACAAAAACAAATTTCTATTGTCTCAGCTAACCTAAAAACAAATTTCTATTGTCTCAGCTAACATAAAAACAAATTTCTATTGTCTCAGCTAGCCTAAAAACACATTTCTATTGTCTCAGCTAACCTAAAAACAAATTTCTATTGTCTCAGCTAACAAAAACAAATTTCTATTGTCTCAGCTAACAAAAACAAATTTCTATTGTCTCAGCTAACCTAAAAACAAATTTCTATTGTCTCAGCTAACCTAAAAACACATTTCTATTGTCTCAGCTAACAAAAACAAATTTCTATTGTCTCAGCTAACCTAAAAACAAATTTCTATTGTCTCAGCTAACCTAAAAACACATTTCTATTGTCTCAGCTAACCTAAAAACACATTTCTATTGTCTCAGCTAACCTAAAAACAAATTTCTATTGTCTCAGCTAACCTAAAAACAAATTTCTATTGTCTCAGCTAACCTAAAAACACATTTCTATTGTCTCAGCTAACCTAAAAACACATTTCTATTGTCTCAGCTAACCTAAAAACAAATTTCTATTGTCTCAGCTAACCTAAAAACAAATTTCTATTGTCTCAGCTAACCTAAAAACACATTTCTATTGTCTCAGCTAACCTAAAAACAAATTTCTATTGTCTCAGCTAACAAAAACAAATTTCTATTGTCTCAGCTAACCTAAAAACAAATTTCTATTGTCTCAGCTAACCTAAAAACAAATTTCTATTGTCTCAGCTAACAAAAACAAATTTCTATTGTCTCAGCTAACAAAAACAAATTTCTATTGTCTCAGCTAACCTAAAAACAAATTTCTATTGTCTCAGCTAACAAAAACAAATTTCTATTGTCTCAGCTAACAAAAACAAATTTCTATTGTCTCAGCTAACCTAAAAACAAATTTCTATTGTCTCAGCTAACAAAAACACATTTCTATTGTCTCAGCTAACAAAAACACATTTCTATTGTCTCAGCTAACCTAAAAACAAATTTCTATTGTCTCAGCTAACAAAAACAAATTTCTATTGTCTCAGCTAACAAAAACAAATTTCTATTGTCTCAGCTAACCTAAAAACACATTTCTATTGTCTCAGCTAACCTAAAAACAAATTTCTATTGTCTCAGCTAACCTAAAAACAAATTTCTATTGTCTCAGCTAACCTAAAAACAAATTTCTATTGTCTCAGCTAACAAAAACAAATTTCTATTGTCTCAGCTAACCTAAAAACACATTTCTATTGTCTCAGCTAACCTAAAAACAAATTTCTATTGTCTCAGCTAACCTAAAAACAAATTTCTATTGTCTCAGCTAACAAAAACAAATTTCTATTGTCTCAGCTAACCTAAAAACAAATTTCTATTGTCTCAGCTAACCTAAAAACACATTTCTTTATGTCTTGGAAAGAGCATTGATATAACACAAATACTGGCTGGAAATATCAGTTAAGATTTGCTGATATTTCTCACAGATTAATTTACTTACCCGTACATCACTGTACCTCTTGTCTGGGCTAGAATATAGCTCAGGTAGTAAAAGTTCATAGGGAGGCATATCCAGCTATTTAAATAGGAAGAAAGTAAGTATACACATATACATAATGTCATGTATTTCATATTGATAATCCAACACTAATTGCAAACTCTAACATTAAAACATGAATCTAACATTTTTTACGATCAAGATCAATAAAAATGGCTTGATATGGCTGGGTTTTTTTCAGATTTGATGGAATAACAAATTGATTTTGGATGATGTTTTATTATCAGATCTTGAGTGCTTAGTCACCAGTCATGTGAAATAATGTCATTGGTTCATGTGTACAGAACCAGCAGGTGTAGTATAATGTCACTGGTTCATGTGTACAGAACCAGCAGGTGTAGTATAATGTCACTGGTTCATGTGTACAGAACCAGCAGGTATAGTATAATGACATGTGTTCCTTTGTGATTATGAGATTCGGTCATCAATGTTGGTGTCTAAATCTGTACCTAAATGATTTGATGTCTAGTTCGAGGTGTGGGTGTCCTGATCTGTCATCAGATTCTGTGTATCAGGTACATGAATAACTTCAGGTTTGTGATGTCATTGTTTTTTGTGTCACTTTAAGTATCATGTCATCAGTTCCTGTGTACATACCTGTGGATAGTGAATCAACAGGCAGTGCCAGCCCCAGATAAGATGGGCTGATAACCTGGCAGTCTCTGAACCAAGCTTGTAACCACCTGCATTAACCAGATGAACCAGATTTTTTCTCAGCCACTGGTCATGGTTGTCCTCTATCTCCATACCAGTGTTCGCTGGACATAAAATTGATAAAATCAGCATAACACATGCATATACATGTATCTTCTAAAGTAAATCAAAAGTGTAAATAACAATACATACTATATTCTTCTGTACAAAAATAAAAGCCACATATTTAAACTCCCATTCAACTAAAACGGAATGCTACAGGCTAAATAATACCCCTATTTCCTATAAAACTAAAACTGAATGCCACAGGCTAAATAATACCCCTATTTCCTATAAAACTAAAACTGAATGCCACAGGCTAAATAATACCCCTAATCTCCCATACACATAAAACTGAATGCCACAGGCTAAATAATACCCCTATTTCCTATAAAACTAAAACTGAATGCCACAGGCTAAATAATACCCCTATTTCCTATAAAACTAAAACTGAATGCCACAGGCTAAATAATACCCCTAATCTCCCATACACATAAAACTGAATGCCACAGGCTAAATAATACCCCTAATCTCCCATACACATAAAACTGAATGCCACAGGCTAAATAATACCCCTATTTCCTATAAAACTAAAACTGAATGCCACAGGCTAAATAATACCCCTAATCTCCCATACACATAAAACTGAATGCCACAGGCTAAATAATACCCCTAATCTCCCATACACATAAAACTGAATGCCACAGGCTAAATAATACCCCTATTCTTCCATACAACTAGAACCTTTCATCACAGGCTAACTAATTCCTCTCCTCTCCCATAAAACGAGAACTAGTGAATACATATTCATGAGTGTTCATTTTAATTACTTTTCATATCATTTATACAAACCAGCTGCCACCTGCTGAGTGTCACATGATTCATAGAATTTGTTTCATTTCAAAAACTGTGCAGAGGTTATTTAGGAGAAATGGTAGGGATGTGACTTACATCTGGTCATACATAGAGGGTGATACATCTCAGCTACAGTCAGAGCATCTAGGGACGGATATAACACATGTTTCCAGCTCACTGTATCTGGTAACATCACACCTGCAGATCCTGATAACAAGAAAGAAAAGTTGATGTTTTGTTTATAATTTTTTTTTTGTCTGAAGTGAATCAGATGAGGAATAGATCCTGCAGCAAGAGAAAGGTTAATTTTTCCTTAAAAAAGATCTGTTTGTTGGTTGTGAATTAGAATAATGGTAGATCCTGACAAGAGAGGCAGGTTATTGTTTCATTAATTAAAATCTTTTTGTCAGGGGTGAATTAGCCTATAATAGATCCTGATAGCAAGAGAGGCAGGTTATTGTTTCATTAATAAAAATCTTTTTGTCAGGGGTGAATTAGCCTATAATAGATCCTTGCAACAAGGAAGGCATAAATATGTTTAATGATCAATATCTGTACATCTTTTGGTACTAGGTATACATGTGGCTGTAAACTTACCAGTAAAGTCAACGACTGGGTTCTTAAAAAGGGTGTTTTCCACAGAAGGGTACATGATGGACATCTGTCTCTCTAACACTGTTATAAAAACATACAAATACAGCATTAATTGAAAAAGATAAAAGAAAAAGTTATGAAGAGTTTTGTAGAAACTCAGTATTACAAACATTGTTATTTTCAAAGGGTTCTTGTATTCTCTATTTTAGGGGATGGAGTAAAACTTAAAAAAATCAATATGAAGTTGGTTTATCTCTTTTCTATCAAGCTTTTGATAAATTTAACTGTAAAAATTTCAACCATCAGATGCATAAAAGATATTAAAAGTACAATGATTCTGGAATCCACTTGGTATCATGCCATATATTTTCTTGAATTCTGAGATTGCTTTCCATTTTGAGTAAAATGTGGATAAAACATTGCGTTCAGTAATCTTTTTAACAACAAAACAGGAAACTTCAGATTAAGAAATTCAATAGACATATCAATTAGACATCTTTTACTCTGCTCCACCACTGTCTTTACAACAATACTTGTGACAGCAAAGAAACAAATTTAAATGAATCTGGGAAAAAAAAAGACAAAAGCATATAAGCTAGAGTTAGGAAAACAACCATAGCATTCCACCTGTTATGTGATATAGTTACCAAAGCAGGGTTTGAATAATTGTACATTATGTGTATATCTACACATATTACCAGAGATTTGAAGTAAAAACAGTCACCATCATTAAATCAATATTATCAGTATTTTTCTTTACTTTTCTTGTGTGACATTGATTTCTTAGTTCTGTCAAAATTGGTCACCAGGGAAAAAAGATACATTCATATTTCTCAGGTGTGGAACTCTCTTTTAAAAGGGTGCAAGTAGCATGCATCCTTAAAAATGATATAAGTTAAATACCTGTGGGGAAGGGACCGCAACACTTTAGCACTCCATCATAGAAGCTTTCCTCTTTTGTGCTATCTATTTCCTGTCTTCTCTGTTGGTTATAAAAATTCATAATGACTGAAATATTATTAGCTTCTCTTGCATTGATATCTGTAACCATGGAGCCAACTCATGGGTGGGCTTATTAGCAGTCATGGGTTTGTTACCAGATAAATGCACAGTACTATATATATAATACTACCATATTTTGTGTGGAATTTATTTTTGCATAAAACTATTGTGAATTAAAATCTATCACAATTTAACAAAATTGGCATCTATAATAAGTTGGTAACTAATATCTGAGTCTATGAGAGTCCAAACTTTAAGCAGCCCATCAATTACAAATTTAGTATCATTTCTAGATCAGTGTTCATGAAATCATGCATTTGCCAATATGTCTGAGGATGTAAGTTGATGAAATAAAGTAAATTGAATTAAACTAAGCAAAATCTATGTGATTTACAGTATTATGATATATCTGACATAACTTTGTCTTTGATAGCTTTATCTACAGGGTTATTTGTAGCACCTTCATATAGAATACTCTAAATCTCTGCCTAACGTCTCAACTTGTTTATTATATGCAGTTGGTTTTTGAGAGTAATAATTGAAAGCTACAAGATGGCTATTTTTTACCACCTAGCAGAGACAATTGGCCTGATTTTATTGATTTGAAAACAATATTATTTATACAAGGTGCATTCATATAACCGATTACCATGCGATTAAGTTTTCACACTTATATTGAAATTTTTCAATACTGGTAAAGCAGATGACAAAAGATTGGTTGTGGATCATCTGGGTGAAAGTATTCACCAGAAATGCCTACCAATTCTCAGTTCCTTTCAATATCACCAATCTCTTTATAACATGTGAAAAATATACTGCTTAAAGACAACTTTCGAATCACTATCTATACATGGAGAAATGAACGAGTCTAAACACACAAAGGAAAGAGAGATGTGAATTGCAGGGATAACTGAAAATGGTTATTAGATTCTGACACCTGACTTATGATTCGCTATGAGGTTTGATGTGTAAATTGACCTACCATGAGGTTTGGTGTGTATATGACAACGTTGCCAGGTTTATTCGGGGTGATGGTGACAGTAGCATTAAGGTCTTGATGGTCAATCCAATAGATCATCTCGGAATTTCTGCTGATCTTAAGCACCTGGATCAATCTGCTATTCTTCTGTCAAAATCAGTGAAAGGAAATTTACGACTGATACTGCCACAGTAATGGTATCTGAATGTTGATCTGACATCATTGTTATGTAGGATAATAACAATGTTAAAATTGTTAATAATAGTAATAAAATGATAAGATATAGTGTTTGTCTTGTTTAACAACAACTAATTTTAACAGCTTCTAAATGAAATGAAACACTTACTTCAAGCATAATCAGTTCAAAGTCCAAAATGTCGCTCATTTTACAATCAAGTTTGTCTTTGACATCCCCACCTTTTTGTTCTCCATCAACAAAGATCTTGCCCTCTCCTGTGTCATACTCTAGTTTACTGTTAGCACTACAAATATCAACACAAGAATCATGAATATTTGTTACACCTATCCGGTTTGTAAGTATGCATGGTAAGCTAAGTGCAAAATACACATGTTTACTGAGATGAGTTTGACAGTACATGGTTACAGATAAAAGTTTGACAGTACATGGTTACAGAGAAAAGTTTGATTTGACAGTACATGGTTACAGAGAAAAGTTTGACAGTACATGGTTACAGAGAAAAGTTTGACAGTACATGGTTACAGAGAAAAGTTTGACAGTACATGGTTACAGAGAAAAGTTTGACAGTACATGGTTACAGAGAAAAGTACATGGTTACAGAGAAAAGTTTGACAGTACATGGTTACAGAGAAAAGTTTGACAGTACATGGTTATTGAAATGAGTTTGACAATGGTAAATGAGAGGAGTTTGTCAGCAGTAAATAAGACAGTGTGACAATGGTAAATGAGAGGAGTTTGTCAGCAGTAAATAAGACCAGTATGACAATGGTAAATGAGAGGAGTTTGTCAGCAGTAAATAAGACCAGTATGACAATGGTAAATGAGAGGAGTTTGTCAGCAGTAAATAAGACAGTGTGACAATGGTAAATGAGAGGAGTTTGTCAGCAGTAAATAAGACAGTGTGACAATGGTAAATGAGAGGAGTTTGTCAGCAGTAAATAAGACAGTGTGACAATGGTAAATGAGAGGAGTTTGTCAGCAGTAAATAGGAGCAGTATGACAATGGTAAATGAGAGGAGTTTGTCAGCAGTAAATAAGACAGTGTGACAATGGTAAATGAGAGGAGTTTGTCAGCAGTAAATAAGAGGAGTGTGACAATGGTAAATGAGAGGAGTTTGTCAGCAGTAAATAAGATAGTGTGACAATGGTAAATGAGAGGAGTTTGTCAGCAGTAAATAAGACAGTGTGACAATGGTAAATGAGAGGAGTTTGTCAGCAGTAAATAAGAGGAGTGTGACAATGGTAAATGAGAGGAGTTTGTCAGCAGTAAATAAGACAGTGTGACAATGGTAAATGAGAGGAGTCAGCAGTAAATAAGACCAGTGTGACAATGGTAAATGAGAGGAGTTTGTAGTAAATAAGAGGAGTGTGACAAGAGAGGAGTTTGTCAGCAGTAAATAAGACAGTGTGACAATGGTAAATGAGAGGAGTTTGTCAGCAGTAAATAAGAGGAGTGTGACAATGGTAAATGAGAGGAGTTTGTCAGCAGTAAATAAGACAGTGTGACAATGGTAAATGAGAGGAGTTTGTCAGCAGTAAATAAGACAGTGTGACAATGGTAAATGAGAGGAGTTTGTCAGCAGTAAATAAGACAGTGTGACAATGGTAAATGAGAGGAGTTTGTCAGCAGTAAATAAGACAGTGTGACAATGGTAAATGAGAGGAGTTTGTCAGCAGTAAATAAGACAGTGTGACAATGGTAAATGAGAGGAGTTTGTCAGCAGTAAATAAGACAGTGTGACAATGGTAAATGAGAGGAGTTTGTCAGCAGTAAATAAGACAGTGTGACAATGGTAAATGAGAGGAGTTTGTCAGCAGTAAATAAGACAGTGTGACAATGGTAAATGAGAGGAGTTTGTCAGCAGTAAATAAGACAGTGTGACAATGGTAAATGAGAGGAGTTTGTCAGCAGTAAATAAGACAGTGTGACAATGGTAAATGAGAGGAGTTTGTCAGCAGTAAATAAGACAGTGTGACAATGGTAAATGAGAGGAGTTTGTCAGCAGTAAATAAGACAGTGTGACAATGGTAAATGAGAGGAGTTTGTCAGCAGTAAATCAGTATGACAATGGTAAATGAGAGGACAGTGTGACAATGGTAAATGAGAGGAGCAGTTTGTCAGCAGTAAATAAGAGCAGTATGACAATGGTAAATGAGAGGAGTTTGTCAGCAGTAAATAAGACAGTGTGACAATGGTAAATGAGAGGAGTTTGTCAGCAGTAAATAAGACAGTGTGACAATGGTAAATGAGAGGAGTTTGTCAGCAGTAAATAAGACAGTGTGACAATGGTAAATGAGAGGAGTTTGTCAGCAGTAAATAAGACAGTGTGACAATGGTAAATGAGAGGAGTTTGTCAGCAGTAAATAAGACAGTGTGACAATGGTAAATGAGAGGAGTTTGTCAGCAGTAAATAAGACAGTATGACAATGGTAAATGAGAGGAGTTTGTCAGCAGTAAATAAGACAGTGTGACAATGGTAAATGAGAGGAGTTTGTCAGCAGTAAATAAGACAGTGTGACAATGGTAAATGAGAGGAGTTTGTCAGCAGTAAATAAGACAGTGTGACAATGGTAAATGAGAGGAGTTTGTCAGCAGTAAATAAGACCAGTATGACAATGGTAAATGAGAGGAGTTTGTCAGCAGTAAATAAGAGGAGTGTGACAATGGTAAATGAGAGGAGTTTGTCAGCAGTAAATAAGACAGTGTGACAATGGTAAATGAGAGGAGTTTCTCAGCAGTAAATAGGAGCAGTAAGACAATGGTAAATGAGAGGAGTTTGTCAGCAGTAAATAAGACAGTGTGACAATGGTAAATGAGAGGAGTTTGTCAGCAGTAAATAAGGACAGCAGTAAATAAGACCAGTGTGACAATGGTAAATGAGAGGAGTTTGTCAGCAGTAAATAAGACAGTGTGACAATGGTAAATGAGAGGAGTTTGTCAGCAGTAAATAAGACAGTGTGACAATGGTGAATGAGAATGGTAAATGAGAGAGAGGAGTTTGTCAGCAGTAAATAAGACAGTGTGACAATGGTAAATGAGAGGAGTTTGTCAGCAGTAAATAAGACAGTGTGACAATGGTAAATGAGAGGAGTTTGTCAGCAGTAAATAAGACAGTGTGACAATGGTAAATGAGAGGAGTTTGTCAGCAGTAAATAAGACAGTGTGACAATGGTAAATGAGAGGAGTTTGTCAGCAGTAAATAAGACAGTGTGACAATGGTAAATGAGAGGAGTTTGTCAGCAGTAAATAAGACAGTGTGACAATGGTAAATGAGAGGAGTTTGTCAGCAGTAAATAAGACCAGTATGACAATGGTAAATGAGAGGAGTTTGTCAGCAGTAAATAAGACAGTGTGACAATGGTAAATGAGAGGAGTTTCAGCAGTAAATCAGTGTGACAATGGTAAATAAGACAGTGTGACAATGGTAAATGAGAGGAGTTTGTCAGCAGTAAATAAGACAGTAAATGTGACAAGTAAATGAGAGGAGTTTGACAGTAAATGGTGACAATGGTAAATGAGAGGAGTTTGTCAGCAGTAAATAAGACAGTGTGACAATGGTAAATGAGAGGAGTTTGTCAGCAGTAAATAAGACAGTGTGACAATGGTAAATGAGAGGAGTTTGTCAGCAGTAAATAAGACAGTGTGACAATGGTAAATGAGAGGAGTTTGTCAGCAGTTAATAGGAGCAGTATGACAATGATAAATGAGAGGAGTTTGTCAGCAGTAAATAGGAGCAGTATGATAATGGTAAATGAGAGGAGTTTGTCAGCAGTAAATAAGGAGTTTGTCAGCAGTAAGTGTGACAATGGTAAATGAGAGGAGTTTGTCAGCAGTAAATAAGACAGTGTGACAATGGTAAATGAGAGGAGTTTGTCAGCAGTAAATAAGACAGTGTGACAATGGTAAATGAGAGGAGTTTGTCAGCAGTAAATAAGACAGTGTGACAATGGTAAATGAGAGGAGTTTGTCAGCAGTAAATAAGACAGTGTGACAATGGTAAATGAGAGGAGTTTGTCAGCAGTAAATAAGAGGAGTGTGACAATGGTAAATGAGAGGAGTTTGTCAGCAGTAAATAAGAAGAGTGTGACAATGGTAAATGAGAGAAGTTTGTCAGCAGTAAATAAGACAGTGTGACAATGGTAAATGAGAGGAGTTTGTCAGCAGTAAATAAGACAGTGTGACAATGGTAAATGAGAGGAGTTTGTCAGCAGTAAATAAGACAGTGTGACAATGGTAAATGAGAGAAGTTTGTCAGCAGTAAATAAGACAGTGTGACAATGGTAAATGAGAGGAGTGTGACAATGGTAAATGAGAGGAGTTTGTCAGCAGTAAATAAGACAGTGTGACAATGGTAAATGAGAGGAGTTTGTCAGCAGTAAATAAGAAGAGTGTGACAATGGTAAATGAGAGAAGTTTGTCATCAGTAAATAAGACAGTGTGACAATGGTAAATGAGAGGAGTTTGTCAGCAGTAAATAAGACCAGTATGACAATGGTAAATGAGAGGAGTTTGTCAGCAGTAAATAAGACAGTGTGACAATGGTAAATGAGAGGAGTTTCTCAGCAGTAAATAGGAGCAGTATGACAATGGTAAATGAGAGGAGTTTGTCAGCAGTAAATAAGACCAGTATGACAATGGTAAATGAGAGGAGTTTGTCAGCAGTAAATAAGAGGAGTGTGACAATGGTAAATGAGAGGAGTTTGTCAGCAGTAAATAAGAGGAGTGTGACAATGGTAAATGAGAGGAGTTTGTCAGCAGTAAATAAGACAGTGTGACAATGGTAAATGAGAGGAGTTTGTCAGCAGTAGACAGTGTGACAATGGTAAATGAGAGGAGTTTGTCAGCAGTAAATAAGAGGAGTGTGACAATGGTAAATGAGAGGAGTTTGTCAGCAGTAAATAAGACAGTGTGACAATGGTAAATGAGAGGAGTTTGTCAGCAGTAAATAAGAGGAGTGTGACAATGGTAAATGAGAGGAGTTTGTCAGCAGTAAATAAGACAGTGTGACAATGGTAAATGAGAGGAGTTTGTCAGCAGTAAATAAGAGGAGTGTGACAATGGTAAATGAGAGGAGTTTGTCAGCAGTAAATAAGACAGTGTGACAATGGTAAATGAGAGGAGTTTGTCAGCAGTAAATAAGAGGAGTGTGACAATGGTAAATGAGAGGAGTTTGTCAGCAGTAAATAAGACAGTGTGACAATGGTAAATGAGAGGAGTTTGTCAGCAGTAAATAAGATAGTGTGACAATGGTAAATGAGAGGAGTTTGTCAGCAGTAAATAAGACAGTGTGACAATGGTAAATGAGAGGAGTTTGTCAGCAGTAAATAAGACAGTGTGACAATGGTAAATGAGAGGAGTTTGTCAGCAGTAAATAAGAGGAGTGTGACAATGGTAAATGAGAGGAGTTTGTCAGCAGTAAATAAGACAGTGTGACAATGGTAAATGAGAGGAGTTTGTCAGCAGTAAATAAGACCAGTATGACAATGGTAAATGAGAGGAGTTTGTCAGCAGTAAATAGGAGCAGTATGGCAATGGTAAATGAGAGGAGTTTGTCAGCAGTAAATAAGACAGTGTAACAATGGTAAATGAGAGGAGTTTGTCAGCAGTAAATAAGAGGAGTGTGACAATGGTAAATGAGAGGAGTTTGTCAGCAGTAAATAAGACAGTGTAACAATGGTAAATGAGAGGAGTTTGTCAGCAGTGAATAAGACAGTGTGACAATGGTAAATGAGAGGAGTTTGTCAGCAGTAAATAAGACAGTGTAACAATGGTAAATGAGAGGAGTTTGTCAGCAGTAAATAGGAGCAGTATGGCAATGGTAAATGAGAGGAGTTTGACAGTCGTTAATGAGAGCAGTGTGACAATGGTAAATGAGAGGAGTTTGTCAGCAGTAAATAAGACAGTGTGACAATGGTAAATGAGAAGAGTTTGTCAGCAGTAAATAAGACAGTGTGACAATGGTAAATGAGAGGAGTTTGTCAGCAGTTAATAAGAGGAATGTGACAATGGTAAATGAGAGGAGTTTGTCAGCAGTTAATAAGACCAGTGTGACAATGGTAAATGAGAGGAGTTTGTCAGCAGTAAATAAGATAGTGTGACAATGGTAAATGAGAGGAGTTTGTCAGCAGTTAATAAGACCAGTGTGACAATGGTAAATGAGAGGAGTTTGTCAGCAGTAAATAAGACAGTGTGACAATGGTAAATGAGAGGAGTTTGTCAGCAGTAAATAAGATAGTGTGACAATGGTAAATGAGAGGAGTTTGTCAGCTGTAAATAAGATAGTGTGACAATGGTAAATGAGAGGAGTTTGTCAGCAGTAAATAAGACAGTGTGACAATGGTAAATGAGAGGAGTTTGTCAGCTGTAAATAAGACAGTGTGACAATGGTAAATGAGAGGAGTTTGTCAGCAGTAAATAAGATAGTGTGACAATGGTAAATGAGAGGAGTTTGTCAGCAGTTAATAAGACCAGTGTGACAATGGTAAATGAGAGGAGTTTGTCAGCAGTAAATAAGACAGTGTGACAATGGTAAATGAGAGGAGTTTGTCAGCAGTAAATAAGATAGTGTGACAATGGTAAATGAGAGGAGTTTGTCAGCAGTAAATAAGATAGTGTGACAATGGTAAATGTGAGGAGTTTGTCAGCAGTTAATAAGACAGTGTGAAAATGGTAAATGAGAGGAGTTTGTCAGCAGTAAATAAGATAGTGTGACAATGGTAAATGAGAGGAGTTTGTCAGCAGTAAATAAGACAGTGTGACAATGGTAAATGAGAGGAGTTTGTCAGCAGTAAATAAGAGGAGTGTGACAATGGTAAATGAGAGGAGTTTGTCAGCAGTAAATAAGACAGTGTGACAATGGTAAATGAGAGGAGTTTGTCAGCAGTAAATAAGAGGAGTGTGACAATGGTAAATGAGAGGAGTTTGATAGTCATTAATGAGAGCAGTGTAACAGTTAATGAGATGAGTTATCAGTGGCTAGTGAGTTGAGTTTGTCAGTGGCTAATGGAATGAATTTGACAGCAGATAGTGAAATGAGTATGACAGTGGCTAGGTTATTGAGCCTGAGAGTAATTAATAAGGCAAGTTTGACATTTACGACTTCTATTTTACCTGGAGATGGTGATGGTATAGTGACTTCCTCGGTTGAGACAGATACCCAGGATATTACAGTGCAGGAAGTTAAGAGGTTCAGGAAATTTAAAGCTGACTTTCTCTGTTGAAAAGCTGAGGTTGCTCCCAGCCCGCTTTACTGATGTATCAGAGAAAAGTTTATCTTTGAAACAGGGTTGAACAGTGGCATGGGCATTCTGAAAATAAAGAATTAGTCCATTTTTCATCTTCCATTTTATAAAATACAAAGTTGGGAGATTAAAATCTATAACTTTCTCTGAATGCTAAAACATTTACAATCATATATTCTAGAAACCGACACACTTGTTTACAAAATCTTAGTAAGTATCTGATGACAAACTATTTTTAAAGCCTTTAGACCATATAGGAATATTCAAAACATAATTTAATGTATTGTAAAATTTTCTTTTCTTTTTGGATGGTAAGAGAAATAAGATAATATATACATACAGCAAATTATCCTGCAAGAAATCCATGGGTGAACACAATATCCATTACACAAAGATAGGGGGCGGGCTTATTACAGGATAATTCAATATTATTGGATTGTGATTTTATTGCATGGCAGCATAAGGTTGGACCGTAATACTGGTTAAATACAGTGAAATTTTACTTACTGATAATGTTTGTAGACAGTCTCTACATACACCACAGTATGCACATAGCTCAATCTCATTATTGCAGCTACAATGTCTGAAAATGAAATAAAAGTATTGTAAAGTTTGTGTATTAAATGTCCGTATGACAGGAATCCCCCACTCTGTTGCATAGATTAGAATCACCTTTTGGTGAATTTGGACTTCTCATAAGTGACCTTTGGCCCTTCAACCTTGACCACTTGGGGTAAATATAGATGAAGCCTCTATACATAATCTTTCCAAAGTCTTTTCATAAGATACTGATGACTAAGACATTTCAGACATAAAACAAATGAAAATACAAAGAAAAGACATTAAGACATTAAAAAGACACTTCAGACATTAAATAGACATTGAAGACATTAAGACATTGAAAAGACATTGAAGAAATTAAGACATTGATGACATTAGACACTGAAGACATTAAGACATTGAAAAGACATTGATGACATTAAGACATTGATGACAATAAGACATTGAAGACATTAAGACATTAAAAAGACATGGAATACATTAAGACATTGGAAAGACATGGAAGACATTAACAAGACAATGAAGACATTAAGACATTAAAAAGACATTGAAGATATTAAGACATTGAAAAGACACTGAAGACATTAAGACATTGGAGAGACATCGAAGACTTTAAGACATTTAAAAGACATTGAAGTAATTAAGACATTGAACATTGAAACACTGAAGACATTAAAAAGACATTGAAAAGACACAGAAAACATTAAGACAGTGGAAAGACATTGAAGACATTAAGACATTTAAATGACATTGAAGACATTGAACATTGAAAAGACATTGAAGACATTAAAGCAATGAAAAGACATCTTTTAAGTTTCTGGAATATAATTTATTAAGTCTGAATTTTTTATGTAAATTTTACCCATTCTGTTATGATGTTTCTTTAGAACTTATGAAGACTATAGGTCAGTTTGTATAATTTGTTGATATATGACAGTTGACAAAGATTTGTATGGGATTAATTGTAAATAATATGAAGACACTATTAAAGTAAATCCAAGATAACTTACTTGCTGCTGATGCCATTGCGTAGATTATTTTTACAGTTCATTCCCCGGAAACTGCAGTTGTTGCATAAGTAACAACGGGAAGATGTTGACATTTCGTTGTTATCAGCAGATGTCAACATTGACGTATCACAATGGTTTGGGACATGCTCCTCACGTGTCAGATCTGTAGGGAAAAAAAATGAACATAGAAACACACTTTATAATTTTTTTAATGAAAATGTTTAAATTTGAACTTGAATAGACGTATCTTACACATTTTTGCTGCAGTTAATGTTATAGTTGTCTCCCTTGGATATATTTCTTTGAATATTAGCATGCATATTTCAGTTATTGCTATAAGGTATCATAGTACAACTATTTTATGTAAAACTTGACCATAAGTTTCTAGTTTCCTAATCTTGGAAAAGTTGGCTTTCTTTGGTAGAAAACTGTAGAAATTAAAGCAAAGTGACTCTCTTTTAAATCAAGAAATGTATCCTCTTAAGTTCTCAGTGGAGTACTTCATTAAAAAGGACAGGACATACCAGATCCAATGAACTCCTGCTTCGTAATCATTACAGCGTTTCCTGTCTTTTTACAGGTGATTGGTTTCTCGTTAACTTTGACATCCATTTCCTTCACATGACAACAATTGTGTTGAGCACTCAAGGCATGTCTCCTGTTCTTAGTTGGGTTACAGACCTTACAGCAAACAGTTTTCTGAGGGAGCAATTTAAACATGAAAACATGAAAGACTATGAATCAATATCATAAAACATCAGTCAAATAGATTAACAAAGAAAAAAAAGAGGGAAAAAATTTATTTTTAAAATAGAATTGACAATAAATCACCTAAAAATCTGTGCATGATAGCACATTCATAAGCAATTAGCAATGATGCAAATAATTTATAAGAAATCAATAATTCCTTACCAGCTAAGATTTCTTTTCTTTTGAAAGTTTTCCACTTAGATATGTTTCTGTGACATTTAAATTCATAGTATTGCATACAACATCAAGTACACTTCAATTTTATCAAGAAAATTTTACATCATTTGAATACTAGTTACCACAGCAAAAACTCTCCTTGTGTGCATCATGGCCGCTAAAATTGTCTTGACATTGTTGAAAGTGATGAAGAGAGTATCAAACAGTTTAGAGTTGGCCACTCGAGCACTAATCACAATGACTGGAAGATCTGTAAACAATTAATTTAAAGAAATGTTGTAAACAAAAAATGTAAACATTATGTAGAGAAATTGTAAACAATGGGTTAGAGTGACCGCTCATGTTGACCACTAATTACTGATAATAGGAAATCGAGTAAGACACTGGGAGGAAAGGTACATCTAGCGACAAGCAGAGAATTTATCCAAGTTTCTGGTGAAACTGTCATCATAACCTCAGTTATGTACTTTCAAGTTTGTTATTTTAAGGGATTCAAACTATATGCTGTTTTAAAGGATTGAATAAATGACTTAAAATTAAGACCTTGATGATAAAATAAATAGTCAATTTTATGATTGCAATGAAAAAACATCTTTTTTGCTTGAACCTTTGTTAAAATTGTGATAGAAATTTGAACCATTGAAAATACATCTTCACAGTATACTGCATATACCACTTAGTAAACGTGACTAATGAACAGGTAGATTGACATATAGAATAGCATTCTGATCCCTATACACTGTATGTAAATTATAATCCACAAAAAGCATGACACGAAAGGTCATGCTGGTACCAGATAAGTCCATTCTACAGTTCTTAGTAACTTGGCACTTCAACAACACAATATGTCCTTCATGTGCAGCTGAGAGGTAAACAGACCTCAATGATCATGTGAGTGAAAATTCTACTTAAACACTCAGAGTCATAGTCTCATTTCTGAGGAGTTTTAACTTGAAATTTGCTGATGAAGAATTCTACCTTGTCATACATCTCTTCCTAAAATCTTACCATGATTGATCTCATTTGGAAGAAGTTCGACCAAGACCATGACAGGGCCTTGATGAAGGATAAGGCCTGACTTCCACATTAATATGACTTGGGAGGTCTCCTGTACTTTTCTGCAAATGAGGAACAGCAGAATGTTTAAAATCAATCAATTAAACTAAAGTTTACTTAATTTTGTGAAAATATTTCAAATCAAAATAAAATCATCTATTTCTGTATCAGATTATAAATAATATCACCTTGACCCTAAGTAAAAAATCAATACAAACATTATTCATTGGCCCTTTGGTTAAATCATTGAGGATTTTGATGCCATGTACTTGAAACACTCTACCTGAGGAAGCAAGGAAACAGCCAGTGGGGGAGAGATGGGAAGGTGAAGTATGCATCTCTCTGCATAAAACCTGTCGGTAAATCTGGAGGCCAAATTTCATCCTGAAAGGTTATTAAATTAAAATTAAAAGTGTTAGTCACAAACCCACATACAAGAACTAACCATACATGAAGATGATAATAAACGAAAAGATATGTAGTTGAGGAAGAACAAACTAACTACATATGTCTAGATATAACCAGAAAAAGTTATTATAAAAGGCCCAAAGGGTAGTAATTTTATCCTTACTATTTCTGGATCATCAGGGGAGGTAATTATGATTTACAACCAAGGGCACTTTCACTTAATCTGCTTAAACAGTATCAGACTGACCAGAATTATTCCATGATAAACAAACAGTGTACTGGATGTTGGAACTGATATATGAAAAGCTCATAGTGCATGGCTTCAGAGTTTTATGTCAAGCATGAAACAATGGCCCAAAAATGAAGATTTTAAGTATATACTGATATTTCTGGATTACTTGAGAAGGTAATTATGATTATCATGGGAGGTAATTACATTTTTACCACTTACCACTTGTATTTCTGGATTACCTGAGAAGATAATTCTGATTATCAAGGGAGGTAATTTCATTTTTGCCACTTACCACTTGTATTTCTGGATTACCTGAGATGATAATTCTGATTATCAAGGGAGGTAATTTCATTTTTTACCACTTGTATTTCTGGATTACCTGAGATGATAATTCTGATTATCAAGGGAGGTAATTTCATTTTTTACCACTTGTATTTCTGGATTACCTGAGATGATAATTCTGATTATCAAGGGAGGTAATTCCATTTTTGCCACTTACCACTTGTATTTCTGGATTACCTGAGAAGGTAATTATGATGAACAGGGAAGGTATTCTGAATTATCAGGGGAGGTATTTAAAGTTTCACTACTTACCACTGGCATTTCTGGATCTTTAGGGAGATTCTCAGTCATCACATATACAAGTGTGTCTTTAGACTTAGGATCCTTGGGAGCACATGGAAACCTAAACACTAAACCCTGCTCTGTCAGGATGTTTAAAAATAGGTTGATCTGCTCCTAGAAAATATACACAAAATGGAACCAATATTAACATTTCATTGCAACTTATTAGTTTGATTATGTATTTGATTAATGTATTTAAATCTAATTTACTGTGAGCATTTATTGAACACCATTCAGATGATATGTGAGTTTAATAATTTTTTTTGAAACAAATCTAAAAATTTATACAAAAATACAGATTTCAGGGTGGGCATATCCATTACACACCAAAAGAAACTTACATCTGACATATTTTTGTAGTAGACTTTGAAGTCATCTCTGCTCCAACACGGTGTTTCTGTTCCCACCCCAGGTATATCTGCATGGTGTGGCATGACACCTCCCAGCTTAACAAGATTCACCAAACTTTCAATATTCTGCACAGCTGGTTTCCGGTTTATATTTGGAAAGTATACAACAGAACCCTGAAACAAACAAGGTGATTGTAGCAATAGATATCACTGGTCAAAGCAGTGTAACAAGAGATGTGATTGGTCAGGTAAATTTACGGATATCAACAATGATAAATCATAGATATTGATACATGTATAACATAAATAACTGACTCAAATATATATACCCTGTGATTCATCATACTTTATTTAAATTATTTGTTAGACACCAATATATTCTGGTAGGAAACTTAAGAAATACAAATGTATATATTCATCAGATACTAAAATTACAATCTTTATCACTTAATCATAAAAATTTAAACCGATACCAAGATATACTATATAACCAGGTCTTCATTAATTTCTACATACCAAGGTCTATATTTTGGTCTATATTTAACTCTAAATACCTGGTCTATATTTAGGTCTACATTTAACTCTAAATACCTGGTCTATATTTAGGTCTACATTTAACTCCCTGGTCTATATTTTGGTCTATATTTAACTCTATATACCTAGGTCTATATTTTGGTCTATATAAAACTCTATATATCTAGGTCTATATTTTGGTCTATATTTAACTCTATATACCTAGGTCTATATTTAGGTTTACATTTAACTCTATATACCTAGGTCTATATTTTGGTCTATATTTAACTCTACATAACTAGGTCTATATTTTGGTCTATATAAAACTCTATATATCTAGGTCTATATTTTGGTCTATATTTAACTGTACATATCTAGGTCTATATTTTGGTCTTTATTTAAATCTCTATACTAGGTCTATATTTTGGTCTATATTTAACTCTACATACCTAAGGATATACCTACCCTTTCATGTAAGATCTCCAAAGCCATGCCAATCTCACTGTAAGCTGATCTGGGGTTGAAGGTGAACTTTGTATCTACAGGGCAACTTTTCTTTATATCTGCTAAAGAAGAAACCAATGGCATTGTTTTTCCATTCTTCAAAATGACTTCAAAAGCCCTTGTTGTCAATGCAAGAAACTGTGACTGATGCCAAGGGAAGACAACTCCTAAATGTTCAACAGTTGTCTTTAGAAACGAACGATCTGAGTCTTTTGCCTAGAAAAAAAAAAATTCTTAATTGCAATGGAATTCCTCAAAAATTGATGATAGTAAAACATGCTGATGTCTCTGGTTTTTTTTTCTTCTATGCTAATGAAATAAGTCACACACTAACTCAAAAAGGAACGAAAAGCATTTCATAAGCTCCTTTGTAAAGCAGACCATCTTCAATGGATTTTTCATATTTGATTTTTTTTATCTTTTATGTTATTGTGTGATTTCTCATCTTCTAAGACTTGCTACACTTGTAACCCTTGTTACTAAAATACAATGCAATGAAACGTGTAAACTTTGGCACTTTTTATATAATGTTCACAATGACGTCACTAGAAAGACAAAGATCTTCTCATCATCACATCTTACCAAGTTTACTGTAGAGAGCAGGGCTTTGTGCATGAGAAGTTGATTCAATTTTTCTAGAAGTGTTTGATTCAGGGCCATCTGTATCTGGTCATCAAAGCTGTGTTCTGTTAAAACCCATTTATCTTCTTGGCTAAAAACATAACAAAACAACAAGAAAATGTTTATGACATAGAAAGCCCATAGTGTCAGTACAGTTATGTCTTGATGTTTATATAAAATCTTATCAAATTCAATCAAAGTATCATCAAACCAGACTTGCAACAATAATTTTTGCTTTGTTTTCTGAAAACAGCAACAGTGCTATTGACCTTGACCCTAGGAAGCTTGAACTATGACCTGATGACAGTCATCACTTATTTGTCTTTTGTATGATACAATGTATCGAAATTCATCAGAAATAATCTCGCTCAAGCAATCACACTGGATCAGGACAATAAAATGAATTAAAACACGACACCAGTGATCGTGGATATAAGTAACACTAATGAATTGAAGAAGTAAACTGTTTTCAGATGTCATTTATGGACATATGAATGCCAACTTTTAAAGGAAAATTGAATTAAGTGCTCTTATGTTTCATGTTAAATTTGCCTTTTTCTACAACAGGGGACTAAGAAATGTAAGAGAGTCTGAAATACTCAAAGTTGACAGGACATGTAGAAATGCATTTTAACCCCAGACCAGCATGTCTGTGAACTATATGATACAACTTACAGCTGACTTATAACTACCACCTATATACCCCCATTACTAGTATCATCCTCACCTTCTGTATGACCGTGAGAGGCCTATATAATCTGCTTGGTCTTTCAGGATTTTTTTCACTTTGTCCAACATCGTTGTTGAAGTGTCTTCATTAACAGGTGAAAGATCGGCCAAAACAAATGCATTCTCTGGGTACTACAATGAAAATATCAATGAATATACACTCGAGTTTATGTATTTTTTTCTGGTGATGTATATACATCCCCCAACAGGTTATTAGTACCCTAATCTTTATAGAAGTAGAACACATGCTTTCATCAAGTATAGCATGAAGTTTTTGACATGTCTTGAGTACACATTGATGTTTAAGTACCAGAAATTTGTGTATTTTTGAAAACACAAAAACATACTGGATGCAAAATAAAACCTTTCTAATTAGACCATCATCTCTACTCAAAATAAAACCTGTCTAATTAGACCATCATCTCTACTCAAAATAAAACCTGTCTAATTAGACCATCATCTCTACCCAAAATAAAACCTGTCTAATTAGACCATCATCTCTACCCAAAATAAAACCTGTCTAATTAGACCATCATCTCTACCCAAAATAAAACCTGTCTAATTAGACCATCATCTCTACTCAAAATAAAACCTGTCTAATTAGACCATCATCTCTACTCAAAATAAAACCTGTCTAATTAGACCATCATCTCTACTCAAAATAAAACCTGTCTAATTAGACCATCATCTCTACTCAAAATAAAACCTGTCTAATTAGACCATCATCTCTACTCAAAATAAAACCTGTCTAATTAGACCATTATCTCTACTCAAAATAAAATTTGTCTGTACAGACCATCATCACTTTTCAAAATGAAACCTGTCTATAGAGACACCCTCGTAGCTACTCAAAATCAAACATGTCTACTTGTACCAGCGTCTCTACTCAAAATAAAACCTGTCTATACTGACCATCATCACTTCTCAAAATGAAACCTCTCTATAGGGAAACCCAAATTGCATCTCATAATAAAACCTGTCAATAGAGACCCCTCATAAATACATGAAGGTAAACCTGAGTAAAGAGACCTTTTCATCGAGACATTACCAATATAGTAACATCACTAGCCTCAGCATCAGAGACTTAGAGGTATGTCTGAAAAGAAACCACACAGTTTAGTTATCTCCCATTTCATCAGAATGGTGACTTTATCTTAAGCCTACAATCTATAACAGACACATTTAAAATTTTCACTAACTTACCTGCCCAATAATAGATGTTATCTGTGAGGCTATTTTCTTTGCTGTCCTGTCGTCTGTGTTGGAGAATGGAAGGACAATGACACAGCCATTACTCAGCACCCAGTTCTCACAGCCCTAGGAGACACAAATGGTTAAAAGAGATCTAAGGTTTGGATATTCCTACAGACCAGGTGAGATACAAGCAATGGGAATAATGCTCAAAGAGTACAGGCAATGATATTTTCTCAGCAACAAAGGAAGAACAGGGAAATGGAAATCAAGTCATCACATCTCTTGGGAGAGGGACAAATACATGGCTAAATTAGTTGAGCTCTAACAATGCTTTATTAACACAGAGAAAGTACAGTAAATGGTATTTTTTTTACCAGTTTTCCAGCAAGCTGTTTTCACGAGCAAAAAATGTTTCCCAAAATGAAAAGAAAACAAATAAAAAATAAAACATGATGTGTTCATGACCATCTATTTTACTATACTTTAGTTCATATTTACCTTTCCTGTGAAAAACTCATACACATTGTAGAGCATTTCGGGTGACTTTTTGTCCGGCATCCAGTCACTCTGTACGCTCAATAAATGGTCAGCATCCAGAGGCTGCTTGGTGAACAGTCCAGTTTTGGGAGTATTTTCTAGATCATGCAGAACCAATAGCTTGTAGGTGTTAAACGCTTGGAAAGTTTTATCTGCAAACATGATAGAAGAGCATTCAGCAATATCATATTTAAAACAAGACTGATTCAAAAATACAATACTTCCTACTATTATAAGATCCAAGCTTGTCAAGCTCAAATGCTAGTAGGTAAAAGCATATATCTGGGACACTCATATCTTTAATATCTGGAATATTCATTCTATCTTTGATATATGGGACATCCATTATAATGACTTTGATATCTGGAACACTCATTGTATCTTTGATATCTGGAGCACTTGTTATGTCTCTGATATTTTGGAATATTAATCATATCTCTAATATCTGGAATATTAATCATATCTCTAATATCTGGACTATTAATCATATCTCTGATATCTGGACTATTAATCATATCTCTAATATCTGGACTATTAATCATATCTCTAATATCTGGACTATTAATCATATCTCTAATATCTGGACTATTAATCATATCTCTAATATCTGGACTATTAATCATATCTCTAATATCTGGACTATTAATCATATCTCTAATATCTGGACTCCAGTTTTGGGAGTATTTTCTAGAAATTAATCATATCTCTGATATCTGGACTATTAATCATATCTCTAATATCTGGACTATTAATCATATCTCTAATATCTGGACTATTAATCATATCTCTAATATCTGGACTATTAATCATATCTCTAATATCTGGACTATTAATCATATCTCTAATATCTGGACTATTATATCATATCTCTAATATCTGGACTATTAATCATATCTCTAATATCTGGACTATTAATCATATCTCTAATATCTGGACTATTAATCATATCTCTAATATCTGGACTATTAATCATATCTCTAATATCTGGACTATTAATCATATCTCTAATATCTGGACTATTAATCATATCTCTGATATCTGGACTATTAATTATATCTCTGATATCTGGACTATTAATCATATCTCTGATATCTGGACTATTAATCATATCTCTGATATCTGGACTATTAATTATATCTCTGATATCTGGAATATTATTAATATATCTCTGATATCTGGAATATTAATTATATCTCTGATATCTGGACTATTAATTATATCTCTGATATCTGGAGTATTAATTATATCTCTGATATCTGGAATATTAATTATATCTCTGATATCTGGACTATTAATTATATCTCTGATATCTGGAATATTAATCATATCTCTGATATCTGGACTATTAATTATATCTCTGATATCTGGACTATTAATTATATCTCTGATATCTGGACTATTAATATATCTCTGATATCTGGACTATTAATTATATCTCTGATATCTGGATATTAATTATATCTCTGATATCTGGACTATTAATCATATCTCTGATATCTGGATATTAATTATATCTCTGATATCTGGAATATTAATCATATCTCTGATATCTGGAGTATTAATTATATCTCTGATATCTGGAATATTAATCATATCTCTGATATCTGGACTATTAATTATATCTCTGATATCTGGAATATTAATCATATCTCTGATATCTGGACTATTAATTATATCTCTGATATCTGGAGTATTAATTATATCTCTGATATCTGGAATATTAATCATATCTCTGATATCTGGACTATTAATCATATCTCTGATATCTGGAATATTAATCATATCTCTGATATCTGGACTATTAATCATATCTCTAATATCTGGATACTATTAATTATATCTCTGATATCTGGACTATTAATCATATCTCTAATATCTGGACTATTAATCATATCTCTGATATCTGGACTATTAATTATATCTCTGATATCTGGAATATTAATCATATCTCTGATATCTGGACTGATATTAATCATATCTCTGATATCTGGACTATTAATTATATCTCTGATATCTGGACTATTAATCATATCTCTGATATCTGGACTATTAATCATATCTCTGATATCTGGATATTAATTATATCTCTGATATCTGGAGTATTAATTATATCTCTGATATCTGGACTGTATGTTAATTATATTAATCATATCTCTGATATCTGGAATATTATATCATATCTCTGATATCTGGACTATTAATTATATCTCTGATATCTGGTATTAAATACTATAATCATATCTCTGATATCTGGAGTAGATATTAATTATATCTCTGATATCTGGAATATTAATTATATCTCTGATATCTGGAATATTAATTATATCTCTGATATCTGGAATATTAATACATATCTCTGATATCTGGAATATTAATCATATCTCTGATATCTGGACTATTATTATATCTCTGATATCTGGAGTATTAATTATATCTCTGATATCTGGATATCATATCTCTGATATCTGGAATATTTATCATATCTCTGATATCTGGACTATTATTATACTCTATATTAAAGTATTCTCTGATATGGTGAAAGATATCAACTGTATGTTAAGGTTTGTACTTAGGTGATATGGTAATTATATCTAGGTGATATCTGGAATATCAGATATCAACTGATATCTGGATAAATTATAGTTAGTTTGTGTTTAGGTGATATGGTGATATGGTCAGATATCAACTGTATGTTAAAGTTTGTACTTAGGTGATATGGTGAATGGTCAGATATCAACTGTATGTTAAGGTTTGTACTTAGGTGATATGGTGAATGGTTAGATATCAACTGTATGTTTAAGTTTGTACTTAGGCGATATGGTTAATGGTCAGATATCAACTGTATGTTAAGGTTTGTGTTTAGGTGATATGGTGAATGGTCAGATATCAACTGTATGTTAAAGTTAGTGTTTAGGTGATATGGTGAATGGTCAGATATCAACTGTATGTTAAAGTTAGTGTTTAGGTGATATGGTGAATGGTCAGATATCAACTGTATGTTAAAGTTTGTGTTTAGGTGATATGGTGAATGGTCAGATATCAACTGTATGTTAAGGTTTGTGTTTAGGTGATATGGTGAATGGTCAGATATCAACTGTATGTTAAAGTTTGTGTTTAGGTGATATGGTGAATGGTCAGATATCAACTGTATGTTAAAGTTTGTACTTAGGTGATATGGTGAATGGTCAGATATCAACTGTATGTTAAAGTTTGTGTTTAGGTGATATGGTGAATGGTTAGATATCAACTGTATGTTAAGGTTTGTGTTTAGGTGATATGGTGAATGGTCAGATATCTGTATGTTAAAGTTTGTGTTTAGGTGATATGGTGAATGTATCAACTGTAAGGTTTGTGTTTAGGTGATATGGTGAATGGTCAGATATCAACTGTATGTTAAAGTTTGTGTTTAGGTGATATGGTGAATGGTCAGATATCAACTGTATGTTAAGGTTTGTACTTAGGTGATATGGTGAATGGTCAGATATCAACTGTATGTTAAAGTTTGTGTTTAGGTGATATGGTGAATGGTCAGATATCAACTGTATGTTAAGGTTTGTGTTTAGGTGATATGGTGAATGGTCAGATATCAACTGTATGTTAAGGTTTGTACTTAGGTGATATGGTGAATGGTCAGATATCAACTGTATGTTAACGTTTGTGTTTAGGTGATATGGTGAATGGTCAGATATCAACTGTATGTTAAGGTTTGTGTTTAGGTGATATGGTGAATGGTCAGATATCAACTGTATGTTAAGGTTTGTACTTAGGTGATATGGTGAATGGTCAGATATCAACTGTATGTTAAGGTTTGTGTTTAGGTGATATGGTGAATGGTCAGATATCAACTGTATGTTAAGGTTTGTACTTAGGTGATATGGTGAATGGTCAGATATCAACTGTATGTTAAGGTTTGTGTTTAGGTGATATGGTGAATGGTCAGATATCAACTGTATGTTAAGGTTTGTACTTAGGTGATATGGTGAATGGTCAGATATCAACTGTATGTTAAGGTTTGTACTTAGGTGATATGGTGAATGGTCAGATATCAACTGTATGTTAAAGTTTGTGTTTAGGTGATATGGTGAATGGTCAGATATCAACTGTATGTTTAAGTTTGTGTTTAGGTGATATGGTGAATGGTCAGATATCAACTGTATGTTAAGGTTTGTGTTTAGGTGATATGGTGAATGGTCAGATATCAACTGTATGTTAAGGTTTGTGTTTAGGTGATATAGTGAATGGTCAGATATCAACTGTATGTTAAGGTTTGTGTTTAGGTGATATGGTGAATGGTCAGATATCAACTGTATGTTAAAGTTTGTGTTTAGGTGATATGGTGAATGGTCAGATATCAACTGTATGTTAACGTTTGTGTTTAGGTGATATGGTGAATGGTCAGATATCAACTGTATGTTAAGGTTTGTGTTTAGGTGATATGGTGAATGGTCAGATATCAACTGTATGTTAAGGTTTGTGTTTAGGTGATATGGTGAATGGTCAGATATCAACTGTATGTTAAGGTTTGTGTTTAGGTGATATGGTGAATGGTCAGATATCAACTGTATGTTAAGGTTTGTGTTTAGGTGATATGGTGAATGGTTAGATATCAACTGTATGTTAAGGTTTGTGTTTAGGTGATATGGTGAATGGTTAGATATCAACTGTATGTTAAAGTTTGTGTTTAGGTGATATGGTGAATGGTTAGATATCAACTGTATGTTAAGGTTTGTGTTTAGGTGATATGGTGAATGGTCAGATATCAACTGTATGTTAAGGTTTGTGTTTAGGTGATATGGTGAATGGTCAGATATCAACTGTATGTTAAGGTTTGTACTTAGGTGATATGGTGAATGGTCAGATATCAACTGTATGTTAAAGTTTGTTCTTAGGTGATATGGTGAATGGTCAGATATCAACTGTATGTTAAAGTTTGTGTTTAGGTGATATGGTGAATGGTTAGATATCAACTGTATGTTAAGGTTTGTGTTTAGGTGATATGGTGAATGGTTAGATATCAACTGTATGTTAAGGTTTGTGTTTAGGTGATATGGTGAATGGTCAGATATCAACTGTATGTTAAAGTTTGTGTTTAGGTGATATGGTGAATGGTAAGATATCAACTGTATGTTAAGGTTTGTGTTTAGGTGATATG